ATTCAATGAAAAAAACGTTAGTTAAAACTATTCAAAAAAAAAAAAAATTTTATCTTTTCTTACCAATAACACCAAGACCAGCAACAGCAAGTGCTTTAGCTGAATCTCCTTCAGTTACAATTAAAGTACAATTAATAGAATTTTTTGTACCAGCATCATTAGCATCATCTAATTTCGGTATACCTTTTAATTTTGATGTTTTTGAACCACTTTGTTTATGTAATTTAGCATCTTGTCGATGTTCAAGCCAATCAATAACAGATTCAACAATACCAGTTTTTTTAATAATATCTTTATGAAAATTTTGATCATTTTTTATTAAACATGTTGAACCAAAATTTTTTTTTTCTGTAGCTAATTGTTTTTTAGCTTGAGATTCAAATTCAGGATTTTCAATTAAACAATTAACAAAAAGAAATAAATGATTTTTAACTTGCATTGGTTTTAAATTTTCACCAGCAGTTTTTGTTTTTTTTTTTATATGTTCAACTAATTTTGGACATATTTGTTCTGTTATATAATCAACATGTTTACCACCATCTGAAGTTAAAATTGAATTAACAAAACTAACTTGTGTAAAACCTTTTGTATGATCATTTTTAGCAACACCAATTTCCCAACGATCATTAAATTTTTTATATACAACTTCTTTTTCATCAACATCAACATACATTAATATATAATCTTTCATTGTTTTAATTGGTATACGTGTACCATTAAGTATTACTTTACAACCGGTTGATACAGCAACATCATATGCACGACGTTTAAATAAAGCAATATGATCATCATCTAATGTATCCATTTGAAAACGTTTTAAATCAGGTATAAATGTAACACGTGTAAATTCTTTTGAACCTTCAGCTTTTGTTATTATTGCATCTTGTGGATCACGCATATTATTTGTCCATGTCTAAATAGAAATTAATTAATTAATATTAATATTATAGTTAAATATTACTTGTTTAAATATTTTTCTAAATTCTTTTGAACATGTTTCAACAGTAAATTTTTGACTAAAAATATTTGTTACTTTTGCACCGTAACCATTTCGACCACCTAGAAGCAAAAACAAAAAAAAAAAAATAAAGTTTAACAAATGAAAAATATAATTACCAGTAATTCGTTTTTGATCATCATTAAAATTATCTGATGTAAGAAGTTTGCCAAATATTAATGTTGGAATATAAATTGAATCATCTTGTGCCCATTTACGAACAGGTATACCATGACCATCATTACAAATTTTTATTTCACCTTTTTCTCTATCAAAAGAAAAAAAAATAAGAATACAAAAAATAGAAATTTTTTTGGACATACTGATCAATAGTAACTTCAATTGATGACATTGTTTTATCACGTTGTTTATTATCGGCAGCATTAACTAAATATATATTATAGAGTTTGAAAAGAATCTTAATATTAGTTATTTTTTTTCCTTACCGAGAATTTCATCGAATATTTTATAAAGACCAGGAACATAAGTTATTTCTTTTTTAACAATTTTTGGACTTTCTATATTTGATTCATCAACAATCCACATTTCCTAAAAAGAATGATTATATAAGTCAAACATAGAAATAGATATTTTACTTCACGACATGGTCTATTTGAACCGATATATGTTTCAGGACGTTTAAGTATATGATCGAGTTGTTCAAGAAGTTGATAAGTTTCTTCTCCTTTATGTGGTGCATCACTAACGGATCTATTCATTGTGAATATAATAATAAAAACAACGTTTGTAGCGAAATTTTAACGGTTATAAGCAATTGTAATAATAAATCAGTATTCCTCTTATACCAATATCTAAAAAAAAAGTATGTCAATAAGATGTAAATCAAATTTCATTCATGTGTCATTTTTTTGAGCAACTATACGATACAAATTTTTTTAGCAGAATGTTCGTTTTTTTTTCCTCAAATAATGCAAGGACCTTTGTGTTCAGACTCTATATATTGTTCTCTTTGTATTCAAACAACCAACCAATTACAAATGAGCATTACTGCCTGTTTAATTACACCTGTCAAAAATTTTATCTCAAATTATTTACAGAAAATAACAATTTCAGTTTCGGCATTATCTAGTATATAACAAAAAACTTGTGTTCTGCCTCTAATCAGACAGATGTCGCTATATTCCTCATTACGTGTAGACAGCAAAAAAAAATAGAAGAAACTGCAAATTTAAATGTTTTAGTTTTTCAGCTAGATAGTAAACTTTTTGAAAAGGATTAAATTTCAGACAAGAATGGGGAAGCAATGAATAAACGTGCTTAATATGAGGAAAAGCTCAATGTAGTTGTGAAGAAGATTGATGAAAGAAATTGCTTCAGAACATATTAATTGTAGTTTGTCAAATCGATTTTGTGAATCGTTTGTTCATTAGTAATTGATGGAATAGGACTTCATTTGAAGATCGTTATGCTTCAATCAAATAGGAAAAACAAAGGTTCTCTCAAGTTTGATGGATATTCTACAAAATCATGCAATGTAAAATGTATCATGACAGAAGATAATAAATAGCTAATTACTAGATCTGGTTACAACTCTAATTAGCACAATCATTTCTTTTTTTTTTGTGAAAAATTGCTGATAAAAATGTCGTTGAAAATTAATGTTGATGATTGAAATTTCCATCTTTCTTACATTAGGAGTTTAATATTTCTATGTCATAGTGTTCATACTAGTAGACATTGATAAAACTAATAAGATAATGAGAAAAAAAAAATGTTTAAATAGTATAATTAGTAGAACGTTTTTTAATGCATGTCTGCCTTCATTCATTTTCATATAAAAATTGTTTTCAATTTTGACATGACTTAACTTGATGAATACTGAAAAGAAAATGGAATATAACTTTAATTTTTCTTTTTCTTTGAAAGCTTGGTCTACTTTAATTATTTTATTATCATTGCAAAACAATTAAATTTATTGCAAACATATATATATATTCAAAAACTTACAGGTTAAACGTATGAAATGAGACAGAGAAAAAAAAAGAGAACAAATCAGACTTAAAATATAAATTCTTCTTTCTTATGCTATAAAGTCTGTATTTTTATATTATCGAAGTTTGATATAAAAGAAAGATTGACAAAAAATTTCTATATCTTTATATATTTTATAGCTACGAGTTACCGATTGAAGTTCTACATCTATTCGTATTTATTTTATGTGAAAATAGTATAGTATCGATATCAAAATACGAGAACAATTTTGACTTTGATATTTTTTATTGAAAATTTTTCATTATTGAATGTAAAGTCTTTCGTAGCAGACAGATTTAAATAATTTTGAAGATACGATGAGTTACATTATTCAATAATAAAGATTATTTAAATCGTATTATTTTTGATGTAAGAATTGTGTAATTTATTATTAACCCATTGGGTGAGATAACTGTTAACTTTTCCTATGTCATATTGTTTATTTAATGTCATCATCTTATTTTTTGATAATAAAGAAAAATGCACAATTTTTCAAAACAAAAGAAATTTTATGACAGTGACAATTTTTATATTTTCATAAGAATAAAATGAATCTCGACTACTTATTATTTATAGATTATTCGATTTTATAGTAAGACAGTTTTAAAATTTTACAATTATAGAATATTCAAAATATCGATCATGTGATATATGACATATTGAATATTAAATTATTGGAAAATTTTATAAAGAAAATTCTTTTTTTGTATACATAAGAGTTTAAAATAGACATATTGAAAAGGATTTAGAAATAGTTTTAAGATTGATTCAAGCAAACATTATATCTATTTTTATAGATTATTCTTAACGCCCACTCATACTAAAAAAAGCTCATCTAGATACTATTTTTCTTTCTTATTTTCACAAGTTCATTAGTTCAATTGTGCATAGTGTAATTTGTGTGAACATTCATTGTGTATATTCTTATTTCATCTAGTCTACTGTCAAACCATTATTATTATCTTTTCAACATAGTAGAACGACGTATGGGATGGTCTTATCTTTAAATAGAAGACAAGAAAAGAAAAAAAAAAAAAAGAAATCCCGAGAGAAAGTCACCAATCCTTATTCATATCTGCAGGGACAAACAGCAAGTAATTATGAGTAAGTTTACTTCTTAAATAAAATAGAAATGACTAATAGACATTCAAGACACGTGATTATATCATACGAAAATGTTAAGCTTTATAACATTGCAACAATGACACGTCGTTGTCATTTTATTGTGTTCTTTTACTTCGTTTTTCGCTTGTTTTTTAGCATATGTCTATACATGCAATATTTCGTTCGGTTTTTTTTTTATTCTCTTTTGCACTTGTGTCTACTTTTTAGCTAAATGATAGCACGTTGAGTCTCACTCGTTGCAAAGACATTTTTTTTATTTTTTACGCATTTCTTCAAAAAAAAGGAAACGATGAAAAAAAAACATCCCTTTTCTTATCTTCTTTTTTTTCTCTACAAAACAACAGACTGCTTTTCGCTCAATAGATCTCCTAATAATAGTAACGGTAACATCTGCACATGACGAAAAAAAAAAAAAACCAACAACAAACAATGACATTTTATATTCTATTTCAACAATAATTCAAATAAGGCGACACTATTATTCTTCTTCTCCTTGTATTGATCCTTTGTGATTCATAGTTTATGTCTCATCGACGATCAAGACGTATATACGCATTGACCAAGGTAAGCATTAGTATGTTAAAGCACACGTAGAGTAAATATAATATTGAAGTTTAATGAACAAAAGTGTTCCTTACTATTTTTACTTATTGAGGACATTGTACATCATTTTTCTTTTCTTCTTTCTCTCTTTCTTTGTCTTTGTCGTTCGTATTTCGCTTTCTTCTTCCTTTTTTTTTTTGGATGATGAATGACCCTGAACTGACCTGTCCTTGTTATTCTTAATCCTGATTCTTTTTTTTTTGTATTTTTTTAAGATAATGACAATAGTATGAAGAAAGAACATTCAATCTAAAGCGAAAAAGAAAAACACCAAACCAAAACCATGCAAACATCATATAAAACGCATGATAATTATCAAGAAGACATTGAATATAAACATCATAAACCAGTAAAATATAGTCGAAGTCATGATACTAATGATCAAAGACAATACTTACAATACCAATCATCTTATAATAATAATCGTTCAATGGCTTCCACTTTTAGGCATTCTATACGTCATTTAACATCGTGTGCTTCAGCAAGGTAAAGAAACACTAGATATGATTTATTTATACACTTATTTTAATCAATCGAAGAGAAACATAACATTCTCGAACAATTTTAAGAATTATATAAGGAATACATTAATGTGCTACACATTGTCATTGAATTCTTAACTGATAGACGACATCTTTTCTTCTAAATGATTTCCTTATATTTCTACGGGTTTTTTTTCTTCTTCTTTGACCATGTAACCATATGTTTGTCTTAGTTGATCATGTTATAAATGTGTTGTGCTCGACAACTGATTCGCTAGTTTACGCCAGTTTTATTTCCTTCTTGTTTCTGAGAACAGGAAAAAGGATTGCGAGTATATTTTTTTCACAATGAATTCTTTTTTTTCTTCTATCGACTATTACTTCTACTATCAAACACTTTCAGTATTTCCGTGAACGATGTGAGAATGTAAAAGAAACAAAAAAAAGATAATATTACTATATTTGATTTGTAACTACATGTTATATTATTATTCTTTTGCATATTAAATGTATAAGCGCGTATTATAAATTAACGATACATAAGCAAACTAATATTTAACATATTACTAATAACAATCGAGATGGATGAAAAGTATGTATTCAAACTAGAAGAAAAAAAAAACAAAGACCGATATGTATACAATTAGTAAGGCTTTAACAAAAAAAAAACAAGCTCACAAAAAAAAAAACTTTTTTTTTTAATGACCTTCATAAGATTTATTTTAATTGTGTAGAACAAAACTATAACATCTGATTATACACATTAGAATTTATACGAATGTATATGTTGTAATCAAACTTGCGTCAAATGTAATTAGAGATCATCTCATATGGTGCACACTATAGGTTTATGCGTGTAAGGTATGCATTAGTTTTATGATAATTGGCAAAATAAATGGCGATTATAACCGAGTTCATTTCTTTCTTTCGTTGATGTATTCTACACGAAATGTCAAGTTCATTGTTGATTCCTTTTTTTCTTTTTCTTCTCTGTCCTCGACTGGCGACAATAATAGTCATACAACACAGGTATAGTGGTACCTCCTTGAATTATCACCGAGACGCGAGAAAAGAGAACTAACAAAAAAAAAAAATTCAATAACGAGAGAAACGATAAAAGAATGCATGTATGTATACGTATTGACCCGCTGTCGTCGCCGTGCTTTCTTCTCGCTTTTTTCTTTTTTTTTGGTTTCGAACAAAAAAAAAAAAAAAACTCGAGAAAAGAACGTTGACGGTCAACTGTATTTTAAGAAGTTACAAGAGAGAAATAAAGAGAGAGAGAGAGAGCGTAAAAGTGGCATTGGTAGACACACACATATACATCACTGCTTTATTTTTGTTCGTCATTCGTGTGCAGCATTTCTGTCTCTACGCTCGCATCAACGACAATTATTTTGAATCATCATGCATGCATTGACGACAAGTCATACCATATGAAAATTAGGAAGACGAATATTTATGATCGATTATATATTTTTTTACGCACGAATAAGAACACGAGTATACAAAAATATTAAAATTGACGTTTCTACTCTAAAGAACGCATAATAACAGCAATGTTAAGTTCATTTCGTCGAAGGTATGTGCTTTTTTTTTTCCTTATATATAAGATGACATTTTATTTTATTATCATACAATGATCAAAAATTATTATTCTGTTCTTTTTCTTCTTCTTCTTTGCTTCTATTGTACATATTATTGATTAAAGTTTGATCTCTTCGAAGGCAGATGTTGTTATTCAGGTACGATAACAAGTTCATATACAATTGTATGTGTTAACATCTGTTGTTTGATTTCATCTTTCTTTTCATATAAGTTGTGATAGAAAAAGAAGAAGAAGAAAAAAATACAAAGTGATTTCTTTTTATTTAATTTCTCATCCATCGTATCTTGGTATGTGTATGTGTGCCGAGGAGTAGGAGTATCTATGGTAATTCAAGACGAAGGTTTCTCATAGGCGAGAGACGAACAATAATATTATTATTGATAATATTGACGAGATTTCAACGTGTCGACGTATATTTAGCCTTTTTTTTACATTGATCGATCAACATACATCATCAATCGAAAATGCAATTTTTACCGTCTTTCAACATCAGGTATAGAAATACATATTCAAGGAGATGAAAGAAAATATATGATGATGATGATCATCATTGTCATCATCATCAGTGAAAAAACAAACAATAGAGAAAGTGTTTCATAGGCTATTGAATATGAGAACAAAATAATAAATCAATCTCTTGATTCGATACAATGAAATATATACATACACACACACACATATATATATATATATATATAATTAGATTTCTGTCTCGTGATATTTGACATATACTTGAGACAAGAAATAAAATTGATTAGGCATACTTGAAATCTTTTGTTTTACAGTTGACTCTACTTTTTCTAATTATTTTAAAAAAGAAAACAGTTTTCTTTTTTTTATATAAGATATAACAAGTCATTTCGCAGTTTTAAGTAGAAAATAAAATCTTTTTATTTAGAATATTTATTCGAATGAAGGGATTATAAAATAGATACAGATTAAAGTTTAATAATAACTTAATATTTCATTAAATTCTTTTTTTCTTTTTATTATAAATATCATAATTGATATTTACATACTATAAAGAAAAGATCAAAGTAGTAGAACTTCAATCCGTGTTAAGCCGGATAGTGTTGCTTGTCTTATTTCAAACATAACAAAAAAAAGCATTAGGTCAATCCTATTAAAAGTTCAGTGAATATTGTGATATGATATAGAAAAAATGCGACATTTAACGAATTTGATGATCTGTTGATATAGATTAGTTCGATTATGAAAACAAACATTATCTATCATATAAAATATTGTTGAATTCTTTATATTTTAGAACTCTTTTTACAATTAATAATTAGTTTTTTTTTCCCGTCATATTCTATGACTCAATACTTTGCATGATTAATTTTCTTGATCGAAAAAATACCTATGAAAGAGAAAAAAAAATTATTCATAAAAAATTCATTATGTTTATTTTATTTCTCATTTAGACGAAAACCCGGTCGTAATTCAAGTTCGAATAAACAAAATTCATCAACAGTTGAAACAAATGTTACACATGAAGATGAATATCGACATTCAACTAAAACATCTTTATTACCTAAAAAATCTTCATCATCACAGAAAGAATATAATCGTCTTGCTGGAGCTACAACACAATCGACTAATCAAGATATTCCACCCGCTTTACCACCACGTAAACCATTGGATAAAAAGCACAGTGTTCAAATGCCATCAACAACACGAAATCCATCTGTAGGCGATAATACATCATCGCAAATATCATCTAGTACAGCCGATGACATATCATCATCACCATCATTGGCTCCTCCTCGTGTTTTACCTAATAAAGAGGTGAGAAGAAGTGTATCTAACACATCATCGTTATAGTCTATTCTATATGGATATGTTTTTATCTTTTTCATTTTTCTCGTTCTCGTTCGTGTATATTCGTTCATTTATTCTTCATTTTTGTTTCGATTCGAAAATAATCAATATGTCCATGTAGTACATGTCGAGACAGATAAACACTTTCTTTTTTTTTTTTTTATCGATGTTGGATGACTGACTAAATTATTATTTGAACAGTTTCATGGATCGATTCATGAGAGTCCAACGCATCAGATCAAGCATATCAATATTCTTTTCTTTTTTCTTTCTCTCTCTCTTACTCATGCAGACGCACGTATAGATAGAGCCTATTACTCTATAATCTCACTTGCGTGTCAAATTGAATTCATTCGAAAGAAAAAACGAGATGAGTTTCGTCGTCTCTCGACTAGCTAAACTGACACTCCCTCTAGTACAAACCATAGATTTTACTAATAGATCATATTTTTTAAATAGGCATAAACAGAACAAAAAACAAGAACCAGATTATTATGTATTATTAATTAATTTAAGTTTTATTTTGTTTAGATTAGTACAAGTTTAGTTAATTTAATGGGTACTGCATCAGATGCAATCAGTATCAATGATACAACACAACCAATAACACAAGAAACTCAAGTATGTTTTATAAATTTGAATTCTTTCAATTCATTAATATTTATAAGAAATGAAATAGAAAATAAACTAAACAGATAAAAAAAATTCTTTATATTTTCTACAGCAACGTAAACATAGTGTTGTCGACTTTATTCAGGTATGCACGACAGAAATATCTTTCTATGGGAACTAATATATGCTGTTTTAATAATACCATTTGTACGGTTAATTGATCTTTTTCTCATAATGAAATAGTATTGATTACATCATCACATTTCTTTAAGTAGTTGAATGTTCTACATTTGTCAGCTTTCACTCGTATGTTGCCAATATGATTACGCCATTGCCACCAAATGGATGGCAACGAGATATTACCATGTCATAGTTCTATTCATTCTTTTTTTTTTTTCTTCTTTCTTTCATCTCTTGTCTTTGTGTCTACTGCTTAGTATATCTGTTTTGGTTGTCTTAGCTGTCATACAAACGAGGAAAGGAAATGGGGGAAAAAAAAGAACCAAACAAAAAAAAAAAAAAAGAAGAAGAAATTGATGATAATGATGAACAAAAACACGAGACAAGAATGATAGAAGCATTTGTAGCATTCGCTGAAGGAAAAAAAGAAGGAAAAGAAGAAGAAGACCACTTATTTTTTCATCATCAGACAAGCGTCGCACGTCTCTAAAACATATCGCAACGCTTTCTCTTCTATACTAGAAATAGAGAAAAAGAGAAAGAAAAAAAAAAAGATTTCTTTCCCTTTTGTCTCTTGACTGTCGTCAATAGTTATTTGTTATTGTGCTGAATAGTAATAATAATCATAACAAACTTATTCCATACGAATCAATCTTCACTCTAATAGATTCTTCTTTTGACATTAAATATTATTTCTCAAAAAAAAAAAACAAAATAATCGATATGCGTCGACGTGAACGAGCATTAACAACTGAGATCCGTTTACATATGAATTCCGATGAGAAGTTATCAGGAATGTCACCAATATTTACTCATCGAATGATTAATTTATCGCCATTATTACATATTCGTAGTAACAATTATCTCGTACGTGTCTTAATATACTAATAATTTTTATTTTTTGCTTGATAACTATATGTTTCAGACAAATTTCATTGAACCTTAATGACCTTTTATCTTATTTTCTTTTGTAGCGTTTATCTACAGCACCCGCTACTACAGTCGATCGATTGGTAAAAAAAAAAACAAAAAATGTTTATTTTCATTCTAATATAAAACTATTTAGGGATTATTTGAATCATTATCTAATGTCGGTACAACTGGTACAATTGAATCACCATCATCACAGCGAACAGTTTTTATTGGTAATCATACACCTATAACATATATTAAACCAACAAATGAATATGCATGGTGTTTTGAAAGTTCAACTACTATACATGGAAATAGTGGAACAAGTATTGATGAATGTTTACCTCAACTTGAAATTGATGATAAACCATTGATATATCGTCAACAATTTCAAGCAAAAGTATATATAGAAATAAATAAATAAATCAATTATTTATAATTAATTATTTATTTTAGGAACATTTTAATTGGTATGGTATCAGTGAAAGTCAAGGACCTGTTATTATTTCATATAAACATTCTATTGATCAAAATAAACAAAGATCTATAATGTCGATTGTTAGGTAATATAGTTAAAAACTTATTATTTTTAATAAGAAATTATTAATTATAATTCTATAGAATACGTCAACGAACATCTATTGAAACTCTATTGGACATACATCCATCATGTACTCCTTCTGATATATTACGTCGAATATGTGAACAATGTGCTATTGCAGATGTTGAATATTTTGATCCGGTGCTGTGTGATGGCGTAAATAAAACAAAAAAAAAAAAAAAAAAGAATTTCATTTCTTAAAAAATAAAACAAATTATTTATTTTTTTGTTTTTTTCTTATTTAGGCACATGATTTATTATTAAAATATGATGAATCTCTTGTATCTAATCAACATAAATATGGTATAATATATCAACGTGAAAATCAATTAACTGAAGAAGATATATTTAGTAATGAAACACATAGTATTGCTATGGATAAATTTCTTGATTTAATTGGTACACGTGTTAAACTAAAAGATTTTCGAGGGTAAATAATACAAAAGAAGAAAAAAAATTATTTGAAAGAAAAGAATAAAATTTTTTGTTGTTTAGATTTCGTGGTGGTCTTGATGTTAAATCAGATCAAACAGGAACTGAATCAGTATATGAACAGTTTCGTAATCATGAAATAATGTTTCATGTTAGTACATTATTACCACATTCAAAAAGTGAACGACAACAACTTGAACGTAAACGTCATATTGGTAATGATATTGTTGCAATTGTTTTTCAAGAAACAGAAACAAAATTTAATCCTGAATGTATAGTATCACAATTTTTACATGTTTATCTTGTTATAACACCATTAAATAATGATGGTACACAATTTAAAGTATCTGTTATTCATCGTGATAGTGTACCATCATTTGGACCAAATTTTAATCATTCAACAATATTTCATTGTGATCATATATTTAAACAATGGTTATTAACAAAATTAATTAATGCTGAAATGGCATCATGTCGTGCAAGTACATTTCAAAAATATCAAGTATTAAAAAATATTTCTTTTTTCATTTTTTTTTTTATAAAACTCTTTTTTTTTGTTTTATTTAAATAGGAACGTACAAAAATGAATTTATTTGAAAATTTATATCGTACATTACATGATAATAATCGTCCATTAATGAATTTTATTTTATATAATAGTCAATATAAACATGAATGTGATATTGAACAACAACAACAACAACAACAAAAAGAAGAAATACAAAATAATTCTTCTATTAAATCACCTGATCGTCATGCTGATAGTTCATTACTTGGTTCTGTACGACGTCGTTTTATTGCACCAAAATTACGTATACAAAATTCGACAACTACTGATAATGGAAAATCATCACCAGCACCAACAACTAATATACTATCACCATCATCAAATAATACAAATGATTCAAGATCTAAAGTACGTTCAATGACAATGGATTTACGACGAAGTGTATCACGTGAATCAATTACAACAAATGGAAATAATACGACTAAAATGACTTCGTTCTTTTCATCATCAAAAGTAATTTCAATTTTCTTATTATAAGAAATCTAATATATGAAAACAATGAAAATTGAATACGAAAGATAAGAGTAGGAAATAATATTTAACTATGTACTTTTAGAACAAATATTCTTTTTTTTTTACTATTTGTTCTACACATTTTTTTTAAAACAAAAATAACGATCTTCTTTCAATTCAAACATCAGTTAATCAGTTCTAGTTAATTAACTAAAAAAACAATCGTAGTTTTTTAGTTGTTGAGAGAAAAAAAATATATATTCACTAGGGAAATTTTCTAATGTCAATAATTTATTCATTTTCATTGTTTACAGACTAATAGTCCTCGACTTGATAAACAAACAGCAAATCGTTCTTCATTAGATCATGAAAATATTGATTCAGCATCAAAGTAATATATATATATATTTCTTTTCTTTATAATAATTAACTTAATCATTTATCTATATATTTTAGTTTACGTTCCAATACAAAATTTTTATCACCTGCAACATGTCCATCATCACCATGGACACCAACATCAACTAATGGTTATCCAACATCACCATCAAATGAATGGAATCATAATGGTGATACTTATTCACATGCAACATCTATATTGAATACAACATTTAATTTTAATAATAAATTACCATCAGATGATATAGATAATGATATTCATATGTCATTTTTACCTGATGATCTTCAAGCAACTTCAAAAGATGGTAAACAATATAAGACCTTTTTTTTATTATTATTAAATAAAATTTTATTTTTTGTAAATTTTTATTAGATTTAATTAAATTTGTTATTGCATTACAACAACAACATTCATTAAGAATAGCTCAAATGGATCAAATTCATTCGAATGCATTAAAACAACTTGAAACGCAATTATTGCAACAAAAAAATATCATTCATCGAGATAATTCATAAAGAAAAAAAAAGCAAAAACAAATAAATATGATAAGATTTATGTGTGTGAATGGTTTTTTTTTTCTTTTCTTTCTTTTATTCATTCCGTCCCCAATTTGTTGCCTTTGTTGTATAATCTTTAAAGATCAGCTAAATTTCCTGATAAGATCATTTCTTTCTTTCTTTTTTTTTTTTCACATCTGCACTTAGAAATCGTTGGTTTTTTTTCTTTGTTCTTTTCATTAAATGTGTATGTGTAAGAAATCGTTAAAATTTTGTACAGTGTCTAATGTTTGAATTGTCTTTTTATTTGATCTTTCTATCTGTTTAAATGAATACTCAATTTTATCTTTGTATCAGTGTATTTTCATTTATTAATTAATTATTTGTGTTTGTATTTGTTCTATTCGAATGATCTAACTCAAAAAAGAAAAAAAAAGAAACAATTATTTGATTTTATTTGATAAATATAATTTGAAATTTTAAAACAAGAATAATATTCAAATATATATATATATATTCGCTTATGATATTTTATTGTTGTTTTTTTTTTGTCATAATTATTCTACCAAAAATAATTCTTGATCGTCAAAATAATAACAGAATATTACTATCTATAGAAGAAAAAAAAAACAAGACACATAGAATATAAATTTAATGATGTATGATGTAAAGTTTTGTATGTAACAAATCAACCATGGTTGAAGAAAAATAGACAATATCGAAAATTAATATCTTTCAACAGATGTTGTTATGCTTGATTAAGAATGATGTAGAATGAGATGAAGAATTCAGTTAATTCTTGTTTTTTTGACGTTATAATGTATTCTTAGATATAATCGATGAAAACATTAACAAGAGATATGAAAGGAATGAAGATTATCGAGATAAATCAAAGATATCTACTATGAATATTATTCTTTTAGAAGTTATTCTCATGAGAAAAAATATTCGAGTGTAATCCCTGAGAATGAGTTCAAAAGAATTCTATACGTTAGAGGCATTGATGAATATCTTAGCTACCCTCGCTTCAATCTTAAAAGACGAGAATATCTAAATTTTTCATTTTGAGGCTCTTTTTTTACTAGTAGGGGTATTATCTCATTGGTCGTTTTCGTTAAATTTGCAAGAACAAGTAGTTTTCTTTGGAGAAAGCAACTTGACCTGGAAGTTATCACAAGTGAAGATATCAAATCTGTTTGTTTTTTTTGACTTAGCTCTCTATCTCTGTTTTCCTATGTTATCGAAAACAAGAAGTGATCGATCAGATGAACATGTAATTGAGAAACTTAGATGTGATAACGACACAGTGCTTCAGTATTGATCTATGTTCCTATCATGTTGCTTTCTCAAAAGAAAATCGCTTGTTTGACAAAAGCGAAAAAGTTAGACACTCTTGAAATTATTCTCAGGGAGATACACTCAAATACATTCTCTCGTCAGAGAAAAGAATTTATTAAATATAAATCTAGTATAAATAAACGATGTATTGAAGTTTCATTCTTTTTGTTACTAATACTATTAATTTTTCATAAAAACAAATGTATATTTTCTTTCAATGGGAAAATTGTTTATCTTATAAAATAGATGTTTACATTGAAATGATAGGAGTTTGATATAAACCATATCTTGTAGTATTGTCTATATGAAAAGATTTTTCTTTCTTTTGATAAATAGGATACTATGAATAAATCATTTATTCTTTTTCTATGTCTCTCTTCTCGTATTATTATAGTAATTATTTCATCTAAATGTGGAACATTTTCAAGTATTAACTCAAGAAATTTGTCGGATTACAATTATAATTATGACAAAGAACAAAAATTTTCTATTGTAATATCAAATTTTATGTATTCATCAAAGATTCACAATAAAATTCATAAGATGAATCTGAAGTGATCTTTGATTCTTTTTTTGAGATACTTTCAAATCAATAATAACAATTATCTGATGAAACAAATATAAAAATTAGAGTAGAACATAACTTTGTTTTGTTTTTTCTTTCACTTCAATAGAAAACATTTTGTTTACAAGATCAATACTTTCATAGATATTGTGACACTATTCAAACAAATTGTATGCTTTCATAAGATTACTACAATTGAAAAGGATACAAAATAAAACATATTCATTTGTTAATTGTTTCTTATTCGATGAGATGATAATCTCAGATGGAATATAATCACAATGAATGATTGATTCAGTTTTTCTTGATTATTTATAAGTACAACTTGATACGTTATGTTTCTAAATCACGAGTTAATGACTACAACTATATAAAGATATAATTTCAGTTTTTTTTTTTTTTTGATGAATAATTTTATGTGATAGAAACGAATATTTGGTTTCCGACCGATATTTTTGATAGTAAAATTAAAAAAAAAAACAAGTGAGTTTTAAATTGATAAAATTAATGGATACATATATTTACAAAGCTGATAATCATGAATTTTTGGTTAATTTGCAAAATATTAACAACATTCATAAATCTATTTAAATCTTATTCATTCTTTTGAAAGTTATTAGTACATGATTTTTTTTCTCAATCTTTAGAAAATAAAGATTTGTAACTAATATTATTTTTGATATAAATTTCTAATGTATTAATTAGAAATACAGAATCTATTCGTATGCGCTAACACATATTGAAGTAAATTTTAGCAAAAATTATTGTCTCCATGAAAATTTTTTTAATGTAGAATATTAACTAATGAAGTTTTTCTTTTGTATCAATCAAGATACGAAATTTATACATACATTACATAATTGATTTATCAATAGAGAACAATCCAACTAGGTTTTTTTTTTGTCAATTGATTCCTTTCACTATTGAATACATTTCTCCTTCGTGATATACATATGTCCTATATGACGTTTTGTTTTACTTTATTATTATTTTCCAAATGTGGGCACTATTAGAGCATTTCATCTATTTGTGTCATTGTTAAGGTTAATCGTTGTTTTTTGTTTTTTTCCCTAATACAAATAACAAATTGTTTGCCACAAGCTGCGACGAAATCATCAAAGACAAAGTAATAAATTAGAAAACTTCGTTATATTGTTAACTTCCAATCTAATCTATCATTCTCAATGATTCCACCTGGATTTAAGACAATTAGAACCATTAGGAAAATTTTTAAGCTTTGTTTCAGTTATGATAAATTGTTTCTGAAATGACTAAGTATTAAGTCTATCAATATTATTCGATGATTGATGAAACTAATTTGTTTTCTACATAATATTATTTTGAGTATATAGTAGTCTCGTTTCCTCTCTTGGATTTTTTTTTTAATATATATATTTTTAAAAAAAATTATTTATTTATTTTGATTTTGACGATAAGGAAAATTTTAGAAAAACCTTTTCTTCGTTAAGAGAAATCTTTCATTTTATATATATGTAAAATACTCAAATAAAATAACTTAATTTTAATTGATTTGAATATTGATGATGTTTTTATCAAGCCTTAGATCTCTCTTCTTATGCATTTTTTTTATTTTCTCTTCTTTTTTAAACACGACCACAATCAACAACAGTAGACAATGTTTTTTGAAAAGCAACAAATACAGAAGGAAAAAAAGAAACCAAAAAAAAAAAAAGAAGAAGAAGAAGACAAAGAGAGTTAATGAATAATCATAAAAATCGTTCGATTAACAGCAAAAGAAAAGAAACAAAGAGAAAAAGAGAAAGAAAAAAAAAAAAGAAAATTGTCTGAATCTGATATTATCGTTCTCTTTATTTTTATTCATTGTATTTTTCTTTATGATTAAGTAAATATTCAGCTAGAAAACTAATTGGTTTAGCGGGCCGTTCTTTAGCAAGTTGAGACATTGCTTGAAGAAGAATTGGTACGACAGTTTGATCAAGATAAGCCCGTGTTGGTAATGTTGATAAATCAGGTTTGGTCTTTTCACCTGACTGTTGTTGCGAACTTGAAGTATTTTCCTTTGTTGCATCAGCTGTTGATGCTTGTTTATCATTTGATTGTTGTTCACCTGAATCGACAGCTGGTTGAGCTTCCATTTGTTCTGGTGCTGTTGTTGTTGTTGTTGTACTAACAACATTTTTATCACCAGATTCACTATCAACATTAGTAGTTGGTGTTTGTTGATTTTCACCCGAAACTTCCGACATAGTTAATTAAATACGCGTAGAAATTAAATCTAAAACAAGAGCCAATGGCGCGAAAAGAATTTTTTTTTTTTTTTGAAATAACTTTTCTGTCACTAACTGGGATCTTTTTTTTTTTATCCAAAAGTGAATAATATATAACAGTAATGAGTGCACAAAAAAAAAAGTTGTGTACACTTTTTAAAAAGTAGTTATAACAACAATAAAGAAAAAATGTTTCATAGCATTCCGAAATATTTGTAACAATAACAGCAACAGAAAAAAAAAAGAACAGGTGTAAAGAAAAACAGAAGGTTGTTTTTCTCGTTTTCTTTAATTTTTTTTATAAATTATTCACCATATTTTTCTTTATTTTGTTGTAAATATAAAGCTAAAGTTTCAATTGGTTTAGCTGGACGATCACGAGCTAATTGTGACATACCTTGTAAAAGTATAGGTACAACAGTTTGATCAAGATAAGCACGTGTTGGTAATGTTGATAAATCTGTTTTTTGTTTACTTATTGTTGAATCATCTTTTGTTGATGTTTCATTGGATGATATATCATTATTTACCTTATTTAATATTGAATCTGTTTGATGTTGATCCATTGGTTCACTTGTAGAAGTTTTTTCCCCATTTATTGATGATGTTTGCTCAGTTTCATTTGTTTCTTCTGGTACCGTTTGATGGGTTTCAATAGTTGTATCCGACATTTTAATTTTAATAGATAAACAAGAAAAAGAAAAAAAACAACTATTTAAATTTTATCTGAATTAAACAGTACACGGTAATATATGAATGAACAATAGACATACACCACGAAAAACAAAGAACATACCCATTAGTCTTTATTCTAATCGCCATTATCTTTGCACCAACAGAAAGGTTAGATTAGATAGAGGTTTCAATAACTTGATTATCATTTTTTTCAAGTGACAAAATATAGGTAAATGTAATTTGTTTAGTTAGATTACCTATTATTAGTAGTAGTTATTTATGTGATTAATGAGAAGGAAAGGTTTTAGTTCGAGAGATGTCACTAAATATTAATCAATTGATTATGTCTAACGACATCTGTTGTATCATTTAGAAATGAACGAATTGGAGAATTTTAAGAGTTGAAAGAAAGATTCTTCAATGGAAATCAGTGTTTCTAATGGCAAGTGTACACTGCAGAAGCAAAATTTACAAACATCTGCAGCTATGAAAATACACGCTGCTGTACACTTTGCTTAAAAAAGCAGCGTGTATACTTTTCTGGACAATTTTATAATATATCTTAGTTTATACTCGAACTTTTTCTTTTTTTTTGCTCTTTCACTTCACTTCAGTAATGTAAATGATTGTGTACATTTTGTTTTAGAATTCCATTAGAAACACTGCTGGAAATAGATGTCTTGTTCTTTTTTTTAATTCTTGAAATTTTGTCATCGAAAAGAATAATTTATTGACTTTGAGTAATCGGATTATATCTGTAGAAAGTCTTCACTGGCGTTAATTGTGTTATAATGTCACGTACTAAAAATTAATTCCCAACATACAAGTCTTTATCAGATTGATGAAATAAAAGATTTTCTTGATAATATCGAATTCAAAAAAAAAAAGTCAATATTCAACGGAAACTATTTGAATTAGAACAATTCCGCCTTATCCCATGAGACAAAAAAATCTTTCATAACTATATCTATCAATTAGCCGAGTAAATATATAGAAAACTATCTAATCCTATGAAATGAAAACTTATCTAGATAATATCTCATTTTATCCCATGGTACCAATACTTATTACGAATAGCTATTATCTTTTTAATTAAAGAAAAAATACAATCATTCTTGCTTATACAAACAGAACTATAATGAAAAATAAAATATTCTTCTATTTTCGTACATAGTTAAGAACTGTAAACAACATTAAAAGGCCAAAGAAAAAGACAAATAATAATGAATCAACAGATAATGAAAGAGTATGTCTGATTTTCTTGAATTTATGAAATACACAAGATGAGATAATCTTAGATTTGATGGTAACGCTAGTTGAATCAATGAGTGTATTAAAAAATTATTCTTATTTTTAAAATACATTTGATTCTTTCAAAATTCTATAAGATAGGATGAAAAATTTTGAAGATCATTCAATCTCTTGGAACATCAGATTGAGATAATTCATAGCATGAGATGATTCTTTTCGTCCTATCCTATCCCATACGAAACCCTAATTTCAATATTCATAAAGGATAATCCATTTGTATAGTAAGAAAAAAAATGTTTTAGATAAATGTCATAACATTAGAATTTTCTATCCCCGAGAATTTATTATCATCTGACAAACTAAAACTACATTAAAATAATTTAATAATAATAAAAAAAAAACCCGATCAGATCATAATTCACTAAAGTGAAAATAAAACAAACAAAAAAAACAAATATTTGGTTATTGAATATATATTGCTTATTCAAATATGGCTTGTGTTGGTGGAAGATCTTCATATTTTGGTGGATTATCAGCATAACATATTGTATGATCTAAATAATGAATAGATTATAGATTTAACAAATTGGTTTGTAAATAGCTATGAAATTAAAATAGAAATCATATAGGTCAAAAGAATCAATGACAACATCTACTATTATTCGAATAGAAAATATTTCTATGGAATATTTTTCTGTAAATTCATTGAGAATGAAAAGCGATCGTTCGGTGTTGTTTTTAAATTTTGTTATATAGATTCTGAGATTTTTATTAGTAGATGTGTGATGAAAAAATGAACTTTTTCTATATTGTATTGTAATATTTAATATGATGTAAATAATCTCTTCTACGATTTAGAAAATGATGTTTGTTTCAAGACTGTTTCTTATAATGTATATACGAATAATTTCTAATTAATTATTCTTACTTGTATTAGTAATAGTTGGTTCATTATAAACAATAATTTTATTATTATGATCATTTTTTTCAATTTTCATTTGTTTGATAATTTTACGTTGTTTAGATAAAAGAATAATATGAACGAAAAAAGATAAAATACCAATAATTAATTGTGTTGTATTAAGTATTTGAGTTAAATTAAATAAATTTCTTATTTCTATACATGGAATATTCGATGAATAAACTTTTAAACTATTTACAAAAAATATTCCTCGTGATAATGATATAGTTGATTGACATATTGGATATATATCTTGACTATCAATAATTAATGCAGAAATTGAAACTGCAATAAGACCCGGTGCTAATATAAGATTAATAATAAATGACCAAATTTGAGCATGTATAAAATATCGATATGATTTTTCTTTATATCCAGCAATAATTGATGCTAAACCAGCAATCATAAGAAAACAACCTGAAATAATTCCTGCATTAATTGGCGAAAAATTTCCTAAACGATCTATTGATATATAATGTATAAAAAAAGCACAAAAACCAAGTATAAATGATATCCAACCAAGACGAAAAATAAATTTATTTGATTTTAAATTTATTTTTAATGTTTGCGGTTGAATTATAATTGTTGTTGGAGAAGAAGAATGATCATTTTCAGTATTCATCTAGAAATTAAAATATTTTTGTAAAAATTATAATGAAATTTCTACCAGATACTTTGTTTTTTCGATGATTTAGCGACACAATTATCAAAAAACTTGCTACAACATAAGCTTAACCCTTTGAGTCCGGGACTTCTTTTTTTTTTTTTTAACTAGAAGTATTTATAATTTCAAATCAATATTTATCTCTTTGAGAGCGACGATTCTTTCTCAAGAAATGTTACAGACTTGATCCATGTGCGAACTCATCAAATCATATGCTGATTACCTGAACTATTAAGGGACAACCCATAATGGTCAGTAATTATAGATAATCTTCATCGCACAAATATCCTAAATCCCAGGACGAACATGTTCGTCGGTCGGACCCAAAGGGTTAATGAAAGATAACACAAATAAAACATCAATTATTAGTAAAGCAAAAATGAAACCGAGCGATACATTTTCAATGAAAAATTTTACAATAAAAAAAAAAAAAATTTTTTTGTTTATATCCATCAAAAATGATATGAGCATCAAATAAACAATTGGAAAAATAAATGCATTGTATGGAATAAATAAATACGATTGATATTTTATTAGTTAGTAAAATTTTATTTGATGTCTGTTTGATGATTTGCAGAAGCTCTAGAAGACAAAAAAAAAAATTCTTTTAATTTTTAACAAAAATTAAAAATTTGTTTTTTTTGTTTTTTACAATTTGCTATCACTATCTAAAGATTGTCTTAGTCCTGGATTTACTGCAACAACTGCAGTTGCAATAGCTGCTGTATTTACTAATGTTCCAGCAAGAGGTTGAGATTTATTATGAATATTATTATTAGAAACATTTGTAATTGTATTATCATTTTTTCGAATTTCATCATCATCTGAATCATATTCATCATCACTACTACTTGATGATAAACGAAAATAATTGTCTTTAACAAAATGAAATATACCACTAATAAAAAAAAAAAACAAAAACAAAGAAACAATATTTGAAAATAAATTAATCAAAATTTTCTTACGGTTTCTTTGGTAATGGATTAGTTGCATTTTGTAAAAGATTTCGATAGTGTTCAGAGTGTATAAAACGTGGATAACTATTTTTTTTCATTAATTCAATAATATGTTTTTCAGCTTCAATAAAAATATCTCTACAAAAAAAAAAAATGAATTCGAAATTTAAACAATTAAATCATTTTTATTTTATTTTTACCGATTAGGATTATCAAGTTGTTTAATAATTTTTGTTCGTATTGTATCATTTATATTAACTTCTTGTGGTGCATTTGGTGCTAAATGTTCTCTAAACAAATAAAAAAAAAATATTAAAATAGATAGTTTACTTATATATATATATATATATAAACAAACTGATAGACATAGTCAGCTTTTTGTTTTATTTGTGATAATGGACAATTACGTATTTCTTGTACATGTAAATAAAAATTGAGACTTTCAGTTGAAAAATCAGCTTTACAAAATTTCATAAATTCACATACACCAGTAGGATCAGAAATAAGTTCTTTACAATTAAATGACCAACGACGAACACGAAGTTGAGTTGGATTATCAACTCTATAAATCAAATACTTATTATATTCAATATATATAGAAAAATAAATATGTATATATATACAAAGGTTGCATAAGAGTCCATCGTTCTGTATCTGATGTTAACCATGGATTTGATGGTGAACAATGTCCCAAAAATGGATCATAATCACTGAATAATTCGAAGAATGCACATAAACTTTAAAAAAAATAAAAATTAGAATTTCTTGATTTGTTTTTTTTGTTTTCAAATAAATTAAAATGGATTTATATAACACCATGAAGCAATAGGGTTCAAATATTTGGAAAAGAAAATAATTGAAAAAAAAAACAAAGAGGTAACATCGATCGATTGGTAAGGATGTAGGGATATGTGTAATACTACATAAGGAAAAAAAAAAGAAAAACCTTTGGTGTGTTTGTGATGATTTTGTGCGTACTCGATTGGACAATGTCTGTCGAAGATATTCAAGCTGAAAAAATGTTAGTTCAATCATTTTTATTTTTCTAACTAATTGTTTTTTTTTTTTTTTAATAAAATCTAAAGAAAAGTAATCATTTAAACTTACACGACGTCTTACTAATTCTTCACGTTTCATCGGTCGATATGTATATAAATCATTTCGTATATCCATTTCGAGTATTGATGCTTCATCGGGCTATTTATAATAACATAATTTATTATAAAAAAAAAAAAAATAATCAAATTCAGAAACTTACTGAAGGTCGCATAACATGCCAGAAAGCTCGTTCTTGACTATCAATAATTGTTTTATCAGTTTTTTTACGATCTTTGAGTACACTACAAAAAATAATACATAGAAATTAAAAATAAAAAAAAAAACATTTCTTACCGAAGTTGAGCTTCAGCTTGCATTGTAACAAAATCCCATTGATGAATTAATTTCATTTTAAGATCATTTAATGCATGCTAAAAAAACAAAAAATATTAGAATTTTAATATTATCTAATCAATGAACAATAAACAAACTATTTCATATTCTTCAAGACCATGTCGTTGACGATTTCTTAATGTTCGTTTTAATAAATAAATAGCTAAATAAATAAATCAACATTCAACACAAAAACAAAAAAGCGTCTTGTTTTTTTTTTTTTTCAACAAACCATATTCAACATTGCCTGTTGTCCAATTAGTTGAAACCCAAAAATATGGCGCTTGAAAACGAAATAATTCATTATCATCTTTAATTTGTACAGCTCCATTTGTTGTTACATGAAAGAAATAACCATAATAACATAATAATGAAGCAAGATGACATGCTTCAACTAGATAACAAAAACAAAACAAGATAAGAATTATTTTTAATAACAAAACAAAAAAATCTTATTTACTAGAATCTTTAATATTTAATTTTTGCATAATCCATTCTGATACATCATTACCCGTAAATGCATTTGGTATTGTTGTAAGAAATAATTTTTGTTCACGAACAGGTACACCTGCTGTTGGATGTTGCATAGCTTTAACAATACGTTCCATACGTTGAAATTGAAGTGAACGTGGTAAACTTTTACGTTGACTGTATGTCGTTACTTCCATTATATAATTATGATATTCTAAAAGTGCATTAATGACAAGAGGAAAAAAAAAGATATTATATAAATGTATTGATTATGTTTCTTCGTTATTTTCACAGACAATAAGTGCATCATACACAAACGACGTGTAATAGGAAAAAAACGAACTTTTTAACATAAACAACAGAAAATGTCGTATTAAATACCAGGAAGTACAAGAAAAAAAAAGAAAAGAACAAAACAAATATATATATATATTTATTGAGATATTAATAGAGAATAAGAACAGTTTGTTTTGTTAACTGATAATAAATAAAATATAAAAAAAAAAAAACTGCCCAAAAAAAAAACACAATTGAGGAGTAAAAAATGAAATATCTGACAGAAAAAAAACAAGCTTTCTTTTCAAGTCATAACACATCCTTTATTCCTCCAAAAAAAAAAAAAAAATTTTTCTTTGTATAAAACAAAAAACAGCACATTCATAGAAGCAAATTAAAAAAAACACGGATAAAGAAAAAAAAATATTTGTTCATTAATATTGCGGTATATTGTCAGATTATACATTTTGAAATTCGATTTGTTTTTTTTTTTTTCTTTCTAAAAGCATAAATAAACGGAAAACAAAGAAGAAGAAAACATAGACATACATATAAACAGACATAACCGACAATCATATATAATAGAAAAATAGTAATGTAAGAAATAAAAAAAAAAAAAAAAAATTATTTTGTTGTTTTTGTTTTGAGTATGATATTACATGATTCATTATTTTTTGACACGTTTTTGTTGATCAAGAATAGCAGTAAGAATTTCTTGTTTAGCTTTTTCAATATCTTTACGTATTTCAGTAAGTATTTCATTTTTGATTTTTTCCAAATCAGTTGCTGTAATATTTGTTGAACTTGATTCAGTTGTTTTTCGTGCAACACGTGGTGATGTTTGAACAGGTGCTGGTGTTGCTGCTGGTAAAGTTGATGTTGTTGCTTTTGGTGATGCTTTAGTAGAAACTGTATTTGATGAATCACCTTTTTCACCTTCATCAATAACTTTTCGTCGTTGAGCAAATTTAGCTGCCATTTCAGACATTAAATCCTGTGGTGGAGCACTTGTAGTCGATTTTCGTCCTGTATTCGCACTACCATTTCCATTAGCATTAGGAAGAACTAACCCAGGTGCAGGTGGTGGTCCACTACCCAAACCACTAGGTAATGGAGGTGGAGGAGGTGGTGGTGGTGGTGGTGGCGGTGGAGCAGCCGGAGGAGCACTACCTGTTGTCGACATAGATGGATTTAATGGTGGAGCTGGTGGAATATTATTGATTTTATTTATTGAATTATCACCGTATGATGAATATGAATCTGATATAAGTGCGTAATTTGTATCGTCGTCTTCAGTTGGTTGAGGATTTTGACTATAATAATTATTACTAGTAGTTGAAGTTGGTATAGAATTTATTGATATTGAATTTGTACGCAATGGATTATTGTAAGCTAGAGACGAGTATTGTTGTTGTTGTGGTGGTTGTTGTTGTTGTTGCTTTATCTCTGATACAGAAGAAGAAGAATTTGACGTGGAATGGATAGATACTGTTGTCGCTGTTGAAGGAAGCGAAGAAGAAAACTGGTTGGTTTGACGTATATTCGACGTTGCACTGTTACTGCTAATATTATTGATATTATTCTGTGTCATCGATGGAAGCGTTGCTAGAGTATTAATATTTGTCTGAGAAGAAACATTAGGAGAACCATTGACATTTTCCAGAATTTTCATCATTGTTGTACCAAATTCTTGTGCATCAATTTTTGATGAAAAATTTAAACCATATACACATGATTGATCACGCCATTGATGAAATGTAGGTGTTGCTTGATTATATTTAATACCTTTTATAATTGAATGATTTAAAACAACTTCATGACTTTGTATTTGTCTACCAACAATACGATATGTTTGAGTTTCTGATGAAAATAATAATTGAATTTTAGCTGGACCATTTGGTGCACAATGTATCCATTTTTTTTGTGTATCATTATAAATCATTGCTGTTGCTTTACAACTTGTTAAAATATCTTCTTTTGGACTATTACCAACCATTGTTATTGTTGGTGGTGGTGATGATGATGATAATGATGATGATTCAATCTGTTTTATTGATGAAGATGATTGATTACTTGATGTTGATATAGATGAAGCAAGCTAAGAGAAACAAAAAAGAATTCTTTAGTTCATCTCTATTATATTTAGTTTATATTGTTCAGTGTTGACATGTGTCTTATCTATTATACCTTAGTAGTATTTCTCAAGTTTGATGATGAACCCACAAGCAGTTTCTTTCCTGTCGACATGTTTCTGCCAAAAATAAGCTCGTCTTACTTATTCTTTTTTTTTTTTTCACTTGATGCAATAGAGGAATAATATATAAGAGTATGTGCATATATGTGTGAGTGAAAAAGAAGAATATTAGATCGAACAAATGACGTATGTGTGTGTAGAAATGGTATCATCGTCAAGAGAATATTTCTTTTTCTTTTTTTTTTCTTCCCTCTTCATTTATTGTATTTTGTCGTCATTCTCATTGCATGCAATTGATAAAGTACTATAAACTTGTGTACATTGATGATTACTCGCATGTGTTTTGTTCATATACGTGCAAGTAGAAAAAAAAAAAAAAGACGAAGTGTCATTGTGTATATATATATGTATTATTGGTGATATGTGTTTAACATGAAGAATAGATCTTGTGCAATCTAATCAATTGATATTTATATGAAATATGGAGAAGGTTATGCCAAATAAAGATAAGATGATATGTATATAACGAATAGTTCGTTTCTCTCGGTCTTTTTCTTTTTCTTTTTTTTTTGATTCTTTCCTTCTATTTTATGAATGTTGATTAAATCTAATACAAAAAGAATTAGTCAACGATCAATGACATTGATGACATAAATACATATATAGAACAATATTTCATTTATCATTTGAGAAATTCTTTTAGTTAAGACAACATAAAAACAACAGATGGGTTTAGGACGATTATCTCAAACTGATGTGCAACATCATGCAATGTCTTTCTTTTCTTTTCTTTTTTTTGTCTCTCAGCAGGATATATGGCAAACAACACATTAAAAAAGCTAATCAATTATCCGTGCCTATGTATGTCTGCCAACGGCGGCATATTCGCACCATTTCATCTTTATACTATCATAGAATAGAATCCTAAAAGTAATATTAAGGGATGGCCTCAATTTACATGGAGTGAAGTGTTTAACATTTTTCTCACTTATTTTTCCTAAAGAATATATAAATATTGTTCTTGAGTTCAATGAATATCGAATGTAAATGTCAAAAAGTATTGATCAAGGACAAAAAATATAGAAAAGACAAAAGAAAAAAAAAAAATTTCTATTCTGGTATTTCTGTTCATTAAAAAGAAGAAGAAGAAAATAATCTCTAGTTTGTCCTTTTTATTATTTCTAATACTACCTGATCATATGTACAGTTAGATTCATCAGACATTTTTTCTCGTTGTTCTGATATGACTATTTGTTCTTCAACGTTGTCATTTTCTATAATTGCTGTCTGTTCCTCATTAGAGTTTTCATTTAGTTGATATTTGCCGTTAATCACAACCTTGTCAGTACAATTAATAATCGGTGCTGAGATATTAATAGGTTGAGTAGATGTTGTATGATCAATATTCATATTTGAATAAGATATAAAACTAGGTAATGCTGTTGTTGTCTTGCTTCGATAAGAAGAATCACGATATTTTTTAGATCGGAACGGGTTAAATTTACGCATTGTTACAATATTTGTATGTATATAATTGTTGTTTTTTTTGTTCTTACTGACATATCAAGGTTTTTTATTTGCATCACACTTACTGGACTTAGTCATCGCATATTCATATGAATACAAAACTGTCCTATGTGTTATTTCAAAAAAAAAAGAAAATTTCTACTCTCTCATTTTTATTGCACAGGTAGGAGTCTAGTAAACATACAAATGAGTAACACATGCTCGTGTACAACATTTATGTTCTTCTATGTTATACTAATAGCACAAAATTCGACACGAAAAGTTTCTACACCTATCTATCAACAATAATCGAAAAATAAAAAAACTGCGTCAAAAAACTGTCAAATACAAAAAAAACATGATCGATGATGTTACTGTTGTTGTCTGTCAAGTGATTGTAAAATAACTCGAGTATATTATAACATATAGAAATACAATGAATCATGCTTTGTTTTTTATTATAAACATACCTTATTAATATAGATGAATTTTTAAAAAAATCACAAATAAATTTCACTTGAATTCTATAAATAATAAAAATAATAGATCATAGAATTTTATCAACTTTCATTTTTTTTTTATTACCATTAAAGAAAACAAAAAAAAGATCCTGAGAATGAATAGCACAAATATATTCTTTGGCTAGAACACAACTTTCTTCAATCATCTCTAGAAAAGAAAAAAAGAAAGAATGTAAATTTGTAAAACAATCATATTAAATGAACATCTATGTGTCCTTCTATGTTCAATAAACTGTACTATATTGACATGACCCATTTATTTATTTTATTTAGATTAAATGGTTTTTCAAAAAAGACAAAATCTTTTATATGAAATAAAAAAGAACTTATTGAAGAAAATAATATTTAATCAAATTTTTCAATTTATAGATCAATGAATAATAAATATGCATTAATATGTTAAAGAATAAATCATAGAGGTTCTTATCTTTATTTTCATTGGTTTTCTTAAATATCAAATTATATTTATTGACTTGGAGCATGACGAAAAAAAAAAAAAAAAAAAAAGAAATTATGTATGTCTATCTGTCGTCATATCTTATGATTATTTGTAAATTTTTGTTTTCTTTTTAGATAGATTATGTCTATTTAAAATATTATTTATTAGAAAATCTTTCAATATTTGAAAGATAATAATATTAACATTAAATTTACGTTATGTTTCTTATTAAACAAAATCAATCATGTCAACATTAGTTACTGTTCGTCAAACAACAACAACAACAACAACGACAACTAATACAAATATGAATACAAATAATAATGGAAATAATAATATTGATAATCAAACAACTGTACGTTCATATGGAATAACACAACCAATATCAATCAAAGGTCCTGATCCATCAGATAGATTAGCAACAGAAAATCTTGAAGAAACATTACGTTCATATGATTATTTTGAATCAGATGCTGAATTAGCACATCGTGTTGAAGTTATGGCAAAATTAAATACACTTGTACGAAAATGGATACATGATGTATCATTAGCAAAAAATGTACCACCTGAAATTGTCGATACAGTTGGTGGACGTGTACATACATTTGGGTCATATCGACTTGGTGTTCATTCAAAAGGTAAAAATAATTTTTTTTGAAAATAACCAAATAAATTTTGATAGTCGTCTAATAATATGTTTTGAGTGTATAAAAATAATTTTTCAAGTTATTAACTTTGCTTATATATATACTTTTTGATTTCTTGATTTTGACTTTTAATATTAAATTCAATTATTTAAATATAAAAAAATTTTTTATTATATTTTATTAGGTGGTGATATTGATACACTTCTTATTGCTCCACGTCATATTGATCGTACAGATTTTTTTACAACATTTGTTGAATTTCTTCGTCGTCAACCTGAAGTATGTGATTTACGTGCAATTGAAGAAGCATATGTACCAGTTATTAAATTAACATTTGATGGTATTGAACTTGATATGTTATTTGCTCGTTTAGCATTAGCAACAATTCCGGATACACTCGATTTAAAAGATGATAAAATATTACTTAATTTAGATCAACGTTGTGTACGTAGTTTAAATGGTTGTCGTGTAACAGATGAAATTCTTGATTTAGTACCTAATCGTGAAACATTTAAATCAACTTTACGTGCAATTAAATTATGGGCTAAAAAATGTGGACTTTATAGTAATGCATTAGGATTTTTTGGTGGTGTTACATGGGCTATGCTTGTTGCACGTATATGTCAATTATATCCAAATGCTATAGCTGCAACATTAGTACATAAATTTTTTCTTGTTTATTCACATTGGGAATGGCCAACACCTGTTTTACTTAAACCAGTTCATGATGCACGTTATGGTTTTTCTGTATGGGATCCAATGACAAATCCATTTGATCGTCATCATTTAATGCCAATAATAACACCAGCTTATCCACAACAAAATTCAACACATAATGTAACACAATCAACACAAAAAATAATTGTACAAGAAATAAAACGTGGTTTAGATATTGTTAATGATATAATGTCATCAAAATTAGAATGGAAACAATTATTTACTGGTATACCATTTTTTCAACGTTATAGACATTATATTATATTATTATTATCATCATCTGATCAAAATCAATTTCTTGAATGGAATGGTTTAGTTGAAGCTAAAATACGTTTTCTTATTGGAAATCTTGAAAGAAATTTATATATTGATATAGCACATGTTAGTTCGGATAAATATACACCAGATGAAAGTGTTTTTGAAAATCAACAACAAAATAATAAAACATCAATCGATAATGATAATTTAAATAAAAATAATCAGAAAAAAACATCAGAAACAAATGGTTGTTGTAGTCCAGGTAAAGAATATTTTTGTCTTTTTTTTAATAGTAATCTTTCATGTGTTAGTGTTAGCTAAATTATATACTAGACAGTTCTACATTATTGAATTATAAATATTTTCTTCGGAGAACATACATATCTAAAATTATAAATATATTTTATCCAGCATGGAGACTGAGGAAGTGGTGTTCTTTCGAAGGTCTAGTTGACCCTACTGAGCTTTTATAAACCGTCCTTCCATTGGAAGGGGAAATCTAGATAAAAAAAAGAATTTCGAAATTAAAGTAGGAAGATATGGTTTTCTTTTTTTTATTTTGATCACTGAAGATTCGATGCAAAATATAGTGTAAACTTCAATTTTTTATCTTCATTGTATTCCTTGATAATTTAAATAAAATCAATTTTTTTTTTAGAATCTTCATCTACAAATGTTACACAACAATCAACAGCATCTCCGTCCAATCCAACAAACACTTCAAGTACATTTAGTGGAATGTGGGTTGTAGGTTTACAATTTAAAAATGTTAATAAAGTTCAACTTGATCTGACTGAAGAAATTCGTATATTTCTCAATGTTGTTTATAAAGCATCAGCTAACAATAATAATTTAAATCGTGAAAATATCAATCTTGATGCTCGGTAAAGAGAAATCTTTTTTATTTTTTATAATTTATTATTTTTTCTTATTTAAATAAATAAATAAATAGTTATATTCGACGTCGAGATTTACATACTGTTTTACCAAAACATATTCTAGCGACATTAAATCATAATCCTCGATTATCAAAAACAAATTTAGTTGATGAAAAATCTGAAATAAATATAAATTCATCTTTAAAACGACCACAATTAAATTCAACTTCATCTGATACAACTATTGAAATTGATTCAGATGTTGAAGCAAAACGTTTAAAACTTGAATCAATTAATGAATCATCTCCGAAAACATCGGAAACAAATCAAGCGACAGACTAAATTAATGAAAGATTTCGAAATAATACATTACATTTTCTGTTGTTTGATGTATTTTTTTTTGTGTCTTTCTTTACTTGTTTAAAACCTTCTTGTCTCTCTCTCTCTCTCTCGTTCTCTATTCCATTTGTTTTTTGTTTTTTTTCCATTTTAAGGAACAAAAAAAAAAAAAAACAACAAAAAAAGATAAAAGACAAAAAAAAAGAAAGAAAAAACGTTTCTCTTCCTTTTGTGTGTATCGTTACTTGAAACTGTTCATTTTCTTTTTTTTCTATCTCTGTTTTTTTGTTTGGTTCAACTGCTGTATATAAATACGCTTGTAGCACATATAACAAAGTTAAAAAATGAACCCAAAAAAAATCGAAAAAATCTTAAAATGAAAGATTAATAAAAAAAAAAAAAATAAATAAAACGAATGCATATATATACATATATATATTTATACATGAAAATTCTTTTTTGTTCTAGATTTTTGTAATAAAATGTCTGTTGTACTTGAAACAACATTAGGTGATATAATTATTGATTTATATTATGATGAACGACCAATATCGTGTAAAAATTTTTTATATTTATGTGAAATAAAATATTATAATTTTTGTTTATTTCATTCAATACAAACAAATTTTATTGCACAAACAGGTGATCCAACTGGTACAGGTCGTGGTGGTGAATCAATTTATCGTGAATTATATGGTGAACAAGCAAAATATTTTGATATGGAAAAAAAACCATTAATTAAACATCGTAAACGTGGTACAGTATCAATGGTTAATAATTCAAATAATCAACATGGTTCACAATTTTTTTTAACATTATCATCAGATCTAGATTCATTAGATGGTATTCATACAGTTTTTGGTGAAATTGTTGATGGTTGGGATGTATTAGATAAAATAAATATAGCTGTTGTTGATAGAGATTTTCGACCATATCATGATATACGTATTATACATACAGTTATTTTATCAAATCCATTTAAAATTCCATCATCATTAGATATACCAGAACGTTCACCATCACCAACTATTGAACGTGTTAAATCATCAATGATTACATTTGATGAAATGTTTGATGAAGATCGAGTACAAGGAAAAACAGAAGAAGAAATTAAAGATTATATAGAAGAAAAAGAAGCACAAGCAAGAGCACAAATTCTTGAACTTATTGGAGATTTACCTGAAGTATGTTTCTTTTTTTTTTTTTTTCTTATTGTTTTGGAAAATAATATCATTTAAATATTAATCTCTTGATTTAATATAAGAAAATTTATATTTTTATATTATTTAACAGTTAACTTCGAGTTATCTACTAAGAATAAAATTTTTTTTGATCGACACTTTCATGGATAGTCAACCGCGAAAACACTAAGGTTTCAGGAGATTTTTCTTGTCTGTAGAACTCGTTGTGTTGATTATTTCGAAAAAAAAATATTCAAATTTCCTCAATAAATAATGGTGCTAGGAGCAAAATACCTCAAAACTTCGGCTATTCCTGATTGCTGCTGACTCGGTAGTTGACGTTTTCGAATATTTTGACCCTAGCACCATGATCTATTGGATAAGTTTAAATATTTTATTACCAAGATAATCAATATAACAAGTTCTACAACCGAAAAAAGTTTTCTGAGAACATTGGATTTTTGCATCGAAATTCTTCCAAAGAAATTTCGAATATTATTATTTAGATATATATATATATATATATTTGTTACTCAATAGACTAACTCATAATCAGAGAAGATAGAAAATCTTTAGTATAAATAAAAAAATGTTCATTATATCTTCATTTTGCATGTTTATCTTTGTTTTAGGCTGATATAAAACCACCGGAAAATGTTTTATTCGTATGTAAATTAAATCAAGTTACAACTGATGAAGATTTAGAAACAATATTTAGTCGATTTGGTGAAATTCTTAGTTGTGAAATTGTACGAGATAAAAAAACTGGAGATTCACTTTGTTATGCATTTATTGAATATGAAAATGAAGAAGATGCTGAACAAGCTTATTTTAAAATGGATAATGTACTTATTGATGATCGACGTATACATGTAGATTTTAGTCAAAGTGTAGCAAAAGCTAAATGGGAATATGATAAAAAACAAAGAAAACTCAAAGCACTTAAAGCTCGACGATCATCACCACCATCACCGCCTCGATCATCTTCATCGAAACGAGTGAAATCTAAACGTTAAAATAGGAATGATTTTTTTGTGTATTAATCCATTGTTAATAAATCAGTTGTCGTGAATAAAATCTACTTGATTTTATTTATAGACATCGTTTGTTACTTGTACAATTTCAATAATAATACATTAAACAGAAAAGTTAAGAGAGAACTAGAGCCCATTGAATTCATCTTAGACTCGGTCAAGTCCGAGTCTCAAACAATATTCAATACATATTATAAATTTAGTTAAATTTGGTTTTTATTCCTATTTGTTGTCTTCAAAAACAAAGCTTTAATTTACTAGTAATTAATTAGTTATTTGTCTTTAGTATTTTGAAGGAATTTTAAATTCTTCATTATTATTGATGATTTATTAAGGTTAAAGTAAAATATAATCCCGCACCGCTATCTTATAATGAATGTATATGATGCATTTTTGTGGTTATATACTAATTTATAATGAATAGAAACAAAATTCAACAAATTTTTTGTTAGAAAAAAATGTTTTAACTGATACTAATCTCATCAATTTTCTATTTAGCTATGTAATATCTTTCAGTTATACAAAGATCTTAGAATCATTAAAATGATCGAAAATTTTTCAACATTCTTTTTTTCTCATGTGTATATAATGATTAAAACAATAAAAACTAACGTTATAATATTTAAAATGAAGAAAAAAAATGCGCACAATATTGAAGCGAAATTCTTTCGAATATTAATTATTCATGTAAAATTGATTTGAATAGCTCTGTAAAAAATAAACTTAATACCTTTTACAAATCAAATTAAAAAAAAATTATTAGACTTAGTTGAAGAATATGAATTCTTAAACAAGTAGCAATAAAGGAAGTAGAGAAGAGAGAGAGACCAGTTATAAAGTGATTCAAGGTATAAAAAAGAAATGAGATATTGACTTAATACGTAACAAGATACACAAAAGGCATCACACTTGATGCAAATGCTGCGAAAAAGTAAACTCAACCAGTGATAGAAAAAACGCTTTATACCTGTTCTATTATCCATACGTCCATAACTCATATCTCATATGTGTCCTACACCAGTATCTGACTAACTTTCAAAGGAAATCGTGAAAGAATATTTATCAGATTCTTTCGGTTCACACAAGTGTGGGTACCGATGAGGGTGCGTAAGTCCGAAGTCAATTAGCGAAACGTTGAAGTACATCGATATCAATTCTATAGTGCGTATTTGCATATGAATTCCATCATTTTCTTCACTCACATTAAGCATCTGTGATGAAAGTTTTCGGTTTAAACATATGTCGGAAGCCAAGTACGGAATAAAGTGGCTGTCTTAAACCGCTAACCATCATTGCTGAAATACACATTATCGAACAACGAATTTTAGAATCACTAGCTCTGAAAATATGGAGTTCATGAATGAAATCAACCCTAAAGATATAGACTATATCTTTATATACTGTTTATATTAAGATAAGTTCTTGGTAGATCCTTACCTTAGACCTGAAGTTCTATAGCTCGAGGATGTGGGTGTGGGTCTAGCTCTTCTATCCATCCATACCCAACGTATCCCCCGTACCCACACCACACTCATACACCCGTAAAGAAAAGTTAATCGAGTATTGTTCTGCATGAATGATAGATTATAATAGATATAGAAATCTATTTTTAAAAAATGAATATAGTATCTTTAACTCCTATTAATACTTGTCATAGAGGAATGCTCTAACTACTTAAATAGTCATTTAGCGGTGTCGTGGCTGATGGCCATGATACATGTTCTAGATAAGCTTCTAGACACTCTTCATTGCATTCTTTGCTTTTTTTTATTATTTTTCTTCTCTCTTTTGTTCTCCTCTTTTTCCATCTCTCGTCACATGAGTCACTCTCTGAGTAGAAGAGCATGGTTGACATGTGATACATGAGAGAAAGATATATATTAATTTTGTTTTTTTTCTTTGGGTGTGGTTCTTTGTGCATTTTTTTTTCCCAAATATATACGGACGATGATTTATCTTGAAGGAGAAGAGTGTATGACTTTAACAAGAGAAATATTTAAATTGTTTCATTGATGAAAATTCAAACGAAGATGATTTCCTTATTTTCGTAAATGGTTGCCATAATGAAGAGAATGTTGTCAGCTTATGAAAACTGTTCGATTCGTATTCTATCAAATAATTAAATCATTATCGAAAGAACGAGTATAGTAAACGGCTAAAAAATCGGCCTTGTTTTTTAACTTGTGTTTCCATTTTCTTAAAGATATTACACATGAAAAGCTTCGATATTATCATTCATCGACTGTGCATGAAAATGATTGTGCGTGCTTTTCACTGAAGAATATTCTGTCCAAAAAAACGTTGAGCAAAAATAAAGATTTTCTATTGTCGTCTAGTTTCCGTTTACTTTCCACTGTAGAATATTATCAATCAGCATCTCTTCTGAGATATAAAGGGTGGTCCAGAAGTTCTGAATCGATTTGTATAATTAATTTTTTTATATTAAAACATATACTTAAAAATGTGTATCTATGATAAAAAGATGCAGTAAAAGACGCTCTACAAAACAGCCTATGACTGATCCTACCTAACTCATATAATAAGAAAGTCATAGGCTTAGAAATGTGCTTCACGAAAAAGAAAAATTAACGGTGAACTCGACCTCGGTATTTTTGCTTGAACTCCTGTTCCTTAGGTCCTTTAAAACAAATTCCTTTTTAGATAGAAGCGCCATGAAATTCTCTTCAAAATCATATCTAAACTTTAATTTCAGGCCTTCAATCAAGGCAACTAAGCAAATTAGGCGCGACGCGGAAAAAATGAAAATTTTGTAAGTTCGGTATTTTTTCGACTCGAACTTTTTTGTTGTTGTATTATTTCCGTGAAAAGCTTAGCAAAAGCGAGAACTCAGTTTGTGTTTGATACTTTCAAGTGCACTCTTTCTCGTGGTCTGCAAAAAAAGTTTTTACAGTAGATGGTGTGCTCGAGAATGAAGTTTCAAAAATCTAAGACGTCCGTTTCCGACAATGTGTCCAACCAAGAAACAAAAAACGTGATCGAAGTTTGATTTTGCAATTAGGTAGAGAAGAGCAATCATTTCTGATCAAAATAAAGCAAACCCGATCGAAAAATCTTTTGTTTTGATGAAGTTACGGGACTTTTACTGAAGGCACCATCAGACGAAGAAAGTCCATGGTTAATTTTTCTTTTTTGTGAAGCACATTTCTAAGCCTATAACTTTCTTATTATATGAGTCAGGGAGGATCAGTCATAGGCTGTTTTGTAGAGCGTCTTTTACTGCATCTTTTTATCATAGATACACATTTTTAAGTATATGTTTTAATATAAAAAAATTAATTATACAAATCGAGTCAGAACTTCTGGACCACCCTTTATATTTGAATCTCAATAGTTCTCATCGATGAATAAATGAGGTGGGTCAGTATATTCTTCGACAAAGTGACTATCGGCAGTGCGTATTTTCCGCGATCTTTATTTCAATGATCGAATCTATCGGTAATATTTTGACATGATACCTGCAATATATATATATATGCTAAATATTCAGAAAGAGTGAAAGCAAGGAATGATCGGCGAAACGAAATTCACGAGGATAGACGGTCGCAAGGCATTCGGAATTAAGAACATTGGTGAAAAAATGAATGATCGATTGTATAGATTGAATACGAAAGCATCGCTTAATCCTTGAATTAATTTCGAATCTTTATATATGTAATTAATAATAAAATCTATCAAAATCATGATGCATTAACTTGTTAATAATAACTAAATCTTGTTCATTTAATCGAATTCTTTTATTTATTTTGAATATTTCTAGCTTTTTCTTTCGTATTTAATTGTATATCAATGAACTATTCAAATGTAAGAAATAGCATTATTTAATCTTGTGAAATATTCTTTTTTTGTTTTCTTAAACTAGCGACATTTTTGCAAAGGTTATGTTTTTACTTTTGATTGGTTCTTATTTAACCAAATAATCATCTGACAACGGTAAGTTTCGACTAACTTATTTATTCCCGCCACGCCACATACTGCCGACCAAATAAAATCCTATCGCATTCTACTCATACTTTCGTTTTATATCGTCTATATACGATTATCAGATTCGTATTTAATTCTAATCATTTTAAATAATGCAATCATTATCCTATTTAATATTACTTATTGGTATTCTATTCACATTTTCAAAAGTTCATTCGAAAAAACCAGTCGATGAACAATATTGTGAAGGTAAAAAACAGAAATTTTATCTTCATTTCATTTGATCTTTATTTTTATTATATTTTCTTGTTTTTTTTAGTATGTATAAAAACCATCAATACATTTATTGATACATTAACCGATAGTGAAAAAACAAATGCAGAAAAAATAGAAAAAGAATTTAAGAAATTTTGTAGTAAAGTTAAAATTGATACAAAAGAACATCGTTTGGTAAATATTTATTTATATATTTCAATATAAAATCATTTTATTTTTTTTTTGTATTATATTTATTTATTTAGTGTTATTATATTGGTGGATTAGAAACATCAGCAACTTATGCTGTTGGTGATTTAGCTAAACCCTTATCATGGGGTATACCAGTTGAAAAAATCTGTCGAGAAAGACTTTCAAAAACAAATCCACAAATATGTGATCTTAAATATGGTAAATAAAATTATTTCTTGTTTTTTTTTTTCTTCTGTATTAAATTTTATTTTATTTTTCTAGAAAAACAAATTGATGTTAATTCTGTAGATTTACATAAATTAAAAGTCAAAGATTTAAAAAAAATCTTAAGTGATTGGGGTGAAAGTGTTGATTTTATTGAAAAATCTGAATTTATTAAACGTATTAATGAAATTAAAGATAAATATGTTAAACCAACAGCAGATGCAAATAAAAAAGACTTGTGATAATTATTCACAACAATTTATAGTCAATCTGTTTTGTTTTGTTTTGTTGTTGTGGGGCGATGTGAAACATGTTTATCGCTTTATTGATTTATTTTTTTTCTTTCATCTATTTAACATGTAAAAATATCGCGTATCATTTGTTTGTTATTTCTTTGTTTTTTTTTTGTTTTGGTCATCTTTTGCTTTCTCAACATGGAAAATTATCAGAAAAACTAAATTCATCATCGATTGATCATGGATTTTAAATCATATGGCTCAGTTTGGATTCATTTTGTTTTTGTTTTTTTCTTTTCTTTTTTTTTATACATATATAGATATTCTCAGTCGAACCTGCATACATCTCATTTTATTTAGGAAAAAAAAAAAACAGAAAACATAAAATAGTCTAATTCGATTTTTCCAGATTGATTCTTTTGTATTAGAATATGTATCGAATAATATGTCGAGAATTGTTATTACGTCGAATTTCAACAACTATTTCGGCTTTTGCATCATCAGATGTTAATGTAAATTTACCAAATCCTTGTATTGCTATGGCACCTGATACAAATCATATTGTTTGTTATCATCCAGAAAAACTACATCCATATGAATATACAAAACCTATTGATCGAAATGATCCTAGTTTTACTAAGGTTAGCAAGTATAATATTAAATAGAATTTACTTGTAAATATTTGTTTTTTAAAATGACTGCTAACGAAAATATCTTCTGAGATTATAAATATTTTCTAACTGAATTATTTTAAGTTTATTGTCGCAATCTACATGTCATTTGTTTTATGGGCAAAAATTCAGTAAAATAATTATAACCTCGGCTCGAAAGATCCATGGACATAAATTCTTTTAGACTTTTGATAATCTCACTAAAGCATTCACATAAACTCAATGTGAGTTTGGACGGCGAGTATCAAATTCGAATAGTTGCCTAGTCAGCCTTTCTTGAATCGAAGTGAGAAAAATAAATTTTTATTGAAAATCTATCGAGTTCGAATTCTTTATCTATATCCATCTTATCCGATTGTATTTTGAAATTAACTTCTAGATTCATTATTCATATATTTTTTTTCTGTATTTTATAAATTTATAGAATGAAGGTGTATTTAAATCTCAAGTTCAACATGATTATAATAATCGATTTTATAAAAAACAATTAACGAAAAAAGATTTTCGTTTGGAAACTGAACAATTGTCACAAATGTTCAATGAACATCCAGCTCTATTCAAATTAACGTAAGTTTTTCGTTCAATTTTAATCATGAACAAAAACAAATAACAGTTTCTAATATTTATATATATATATATATTTAGACCTAAAAGAGATAAAATTCGTCGAGCATCACAATTTCCTGAACCAACACCAGATCGATCTGGCATTTGATTATAATATTTTGTTTCTAACATTGTTTTTCTTTTCTGTTAGTCAAATACTAAATAAACTTATTAGTCACAAGATATGGAATTATTTCTATAAAAAAGTGTACTGATAAAATCAAGTTTTATAATTGAATCAAATAGTTACTATAACAGACACGCATTCCAATTTATTCTATGATACAATAAGAAACATATTTATTAAGATACAATTATTCGATTGTTTTACACTAATGTATAATTTCATGTAAAAGAAAATTCATGGAACTATGTATATTCAAGTCATTGGAGCATAGAGTTATAAGATTCCGGTGGTTTTCAAATAAAAATTATATCATCTTGATAAAGACAAGAAAAATAAATATGCCTTTTACAAATGATATAACAAGAAAATTCAACAATTTTAAAACATTGTTGCTCATGTTCGTTGAAAAAAGTTTATGTTAATTTTGACTTCATCATTGTATAATAGAAAACTAAACTAATTTCATCGATTTTTTTTAAAGCTCTTTTTATCAATCTCTTTATTAAATTGAATAATATTCACTACTCTAAAATTCTGTAATTGGATCCTATCACATTTTTTTAATCTTCGAGCTCATCAAATTGTATTTTAAACTTTTCTTCGATGCTTCTATCTCTCTCTCGTTCTCTATTAATGATGTACCTAACGTCGAAATCAACAATCTACCAAGAACTTCTCAACAAAATATTTCACCAAAAAAAAAAAAAATAAATAAATTCAATACATAACCATTGTTTCTTATGACTGAAATGAAAAAAAACAAATGATTGAAAAAAAAAAACATCGATGTCCTATTTCGAATAATCATTTTTCATATCTACTAATGTCGTAAGATATATATATATAGTCTTCTTTCTAATTTACATTCATTGCCTTAGCCGAAAGTAGTTACCATTTGGCAGTTTTTATCAATACTAAATGTACACAGTAGGTGGTCTAGTAAGTGAGAGAATCTTTAGCTTTTCTGCCTCTAGCATTGCACTAGACAGATGAACAGAAAAAGAAAAATGCTTATGGCAATCGCTCAATTAATACAACTTGTTCATCGACATTGTCATCTGAGAATCGATGGTCAGTCGGTAAGCACCCTAACGAGTACGAAATCTGTTCGAATAATTCAACGAACACAAGCATCAATATCACACTTGTCTTCAAAAAAAAAAAAAAAAAAAAAAAAAACTATTGTTTTCAATCATTCTCTTGCTTTTTCTTCTTTTCTCAAAAGAAAAAAACGCAACTGACAACACTTTCCTTGATAGGTTTTTTTCTTCTTTTTCTTCTGGTTTAACAACACTAAAATGTCTCCACCAATAATAATGTATCTTATCTATTCATCAATATTTCTATTGGATAACAAAACAAAAGAGAGAAAATAAAACATAAATGTAGTCATGCACAGAGAGAGCGAGAGCGAGAGAGAGAGTAGCAAGGAAAAGAAAAAAAAGAAATGCATCGATTCTCAAGAGCCTTCTGAGCTATGCCGTTCATGGGTATGAATGAGTGAGTGGAAACAACATTAGCCTAATGGAAGTAAATTTCATTCGTTAGCTGAAGTTTTTGCGAGTTCTCTTCTTTTCCTAACGAAGTTGTCTCCTTCGTTTCGCATTCGAGTTGTCGGACGTGCGTCTTCTCTTTACCGCCGTCTAGATTCTTTACTGCCTGCATCAATTATTTATTACTTGTTTTTGTTCTTTTTCCATACTATTTTATTATTATAAGTGTTGATTTGTCGTCTAACAGAATTAGTCACCTTAAATTAAGAATCTTATAAACTAGAATTATTATGATAATTATAATATAATATAAAAAAAATTGATAAATAGAAAGACGAAGAAGAAACAAAGAGAAAGCGAACAAATTATATTTCAACCACTCATTCACTTTTCTCTTTCACTAAGATAATAATCATCATCAATGAATAACGAATAATTGAATTTTGATCAACATATATATATATATATATATACGCAAAATGTCAAACTTAACCGATAATAATACTACTAATCGAATATTATCTTCATCAATTACGATAAATAATAATACCTATTCACAATCATCATCATTTAATAATCGTACGACAAATACAACTAATGATTGTGATAGATCAATATCATCATCATCACCATCCACAACAACAACTTCTACGCTTGGTTTAACAGCTATGGGTTTAGCAGCAGCAAGTCTTGTTGCTGTAACATCTAATAATACAATAAATTCAGACAATACAGAATGTGATTCAAAACGTAATGTTTCAACACCATTTAAATTACATTCAAATACATCTGATGATCATTATGCTAATTTTTCTGCTCTAAATCGAACATTAGCTCAACCTCCTTCATCAGGATCATCACCTTTTAATATTATTAATCAATCATCAAATAATAATTTTCAATTTATATCTAATCCAACAGGTTAGCTTCTTTTTTTTTTTATTATTTTTGTTTCTAATACAAATTGAAAATTATATTTAACAAAAAAAAGTGATACTTTTGTTTTTTTAAATAGGTCATTCTGATAGTGGTGCATTCAAAAAAATAAAACATGAATCACTTTTATTAAATACTCATCCATATCATCTTCAACCTTATAATACACATTATTCACATGTACCTCCACCTTCATTAAATATTCAATCAACACATAATAATCATACAAATAATGTTTCTCCTACACATTCAACAAATTCAAGTCAATCTTCACATCATTCATTATCAAATCCCAATGGAAGTCAATGTCCAACACCAGCACGACGTCGACATCGAACAACATTTACACAAGAACAATTAGCTGAACTTGAATCAGCATTTGGAAAAAGTCATTATCCAGATATTTATTGTCGTGAAGAATTAGCACGAATTACAAAATTAAATGAAGCTCGTATTCAGGTTAGAAACAATGAAAAATAAATAAATAAATAAAAGAGAAATAAATTCGTTTTATAAGAAAAAAAAAAGAGAAAAGGAAATAAACTTCGCACACACACACACACACATCTTGTCATAGATGTCTTTATGATTGACAAGCATAAGAGGAAATGTCGAGTGAAGCATGGAATATAGACAGACCGAAAAAAAAAAAAAAGAAGAAAGATGATGACGAGTGTACTGACTACATACATACACATAGAGTTTGATAATTGAATCAAGCGTTCAAACTTCGTCGTCGCGTAAGAATAGATTTCTAATGAGTATGTGCAGTCGACCGACAAGAAACTACATCAATACACGAGAGAGGCAAAAAAAAAAAGACAAGTCTTGTCGTTGTTATATTCTATCGATTAGCTCGTGCATTGACAATTGAACTTGCATGTACCAACATTTTATTATTAGTGAATAGTTTAATTGAAAAGAAGAAAGAAATGAACGTGACTTTATATATTTATTATCACAATGATGATGATAATGACGTTTGTTTTTTTTCTTGATACAAAAAAAAGGTTTGGTTTCAAAATCGACGAGCTAAATATCGAAAACAAGAAAAACAATTGCAAAAAGCTTTATCACCAGTTCTTTCACCATGTAATGCAATGATGAGAAATTTTTATCAAGCATCAACTGGAAGATCATATCAATATGGTACAACAGGTACAAATAGTGTTGTATCAAATCAAATACGTTATCCACCAACAGCTGTTGCATATTCACAATTTTCGCCATTAACTACTGCCGGTATTCGACAGGTTTGATAGTTTATCAAGAATTTTTTGTATTATTTAAAATAAAATTGATTTTGTTTTTGTTTTTTTTTGCTAGGACAATCCATTATCTTTTCAAGATACTGATTGGTACAATAAAAGTCTCTCATCATTTCGTGTTGATCATACATCAATGCTTCATTATCCAGCTTGAACAGTGTGTGTGTGTGTGTGCATGCGTGCGTGTCTTACCTTTTGAACAGTGAAAATATTTCGTTTTGCGTATATGTGTATGTGGCCATTTTATTCTATGAATAAAGAAAGAAAAAGAGATATAAAGAAAAAAAAAAAAAAAGAGAAATTTTTCATTTTTTTTTTCCTCTTCTTTCTTTACATCTGACTTAGTTAATTTCATTGTTATAATAACAACTAATTCAATATTAACTCTTATATACATGAAATAATTGTCAAAAAAAAAAAAAAAAAAAAAACATTAGAATTCTTTTATGTTTTGTTCATATGTTACAATATACATTCTTTTTGATGAAAATAAAAATAATAAATTTAAATCATTTGTTTTTTTCTTTTTTCTTTCGATTTCATATTTTTTAATTTTAAAATATTAAAATAGTAATAAAACACTTTTTATTTTTACTTTCTTCACACTTATTAATGTGTTCAGTTAGAATAATCAAATTCTGGCGCAGTGCAAAAATCTAATTTTGATCCACTTCACCCTTCTTATAGAAAGAGAAGAGAGAAAAAACTATATATATATATAGATGAAGAAAGCAGAAACTAGAACCAGACTAAAATTTATGTTACTCATGGCATATACAATCAAATTCATCCAAATACAATCTAGGAAAATATGAGTTTTTGATGAATGCATATATATTAAAGTAAAGTATATTTGTAGAAAATTTGTTTGTTTGTTTTTTGTATAAAAGAAATTTAAGAATCTTCTTTTTTTTTCGGTTTTTTTTATTTGTAAAAAAGAAAAACCAAATCTTTGAATAAATAATTTGTCTGTTGTCTCTTTCCGATAAAATAACAATCGATAGTTGATTGCAATCTAAATTCTTCTTATATGGTTTTTTTTTCTTTTTTTTCATGTATTTGTAGAAGCATGTGGGATCAAAATGATGATGCCTGAAACATCGCGCCGATTGGTTGTTGATCATCTTGTTGAACGGAACACATCCGCCATGCAACCATTCATCTTTTTTTCTTCTTCTTCTTTTTCTTCTTGTCATTTTTCATTTCCAATACAAGTTTTTTCTTCTCTTTTCTCATTGAACGACGAATACTTGAGCTGTCCGACCGATACAAAAAAGATAGAAAAAGAAGACAATCTTGTTGAAAGATTACCAGAGCACAGTAATCAAATTCTCTGGATATATTTGCACGATACAAAATCAAGACAATGTTAGAAAATAGCAACTATACAATTACTTCATGTAATTATTAGTATTTCTTCTTTTTTTTTTTATTATAAATTATGCACACAAAATTCTTTTCTTTTTTTATTATTTACTTTTTTTTGTTTCTTAGTGAATACAGGCGCATTTAAACGCACAAAACAACATGATGGTATGACAATAAATCATCCGTTTATTCCACCTCCACCACCACCAGCATCATCTACAACAACATCTGTACCTCTTACACATCATCAACTTATTCAATCACATGAACAACATCAACAAGTCCAACAACGTAATCATACATCAGCACGTCGTCGACATCGAACTACATTTACACAAGAACAACTTATTGAACTTGAATCATCATTTTCTAAAGGTCATTATCCTGATATTTATTTACGTGAAGAATTAGCACGAACAACGAAATTAAATGAAGCACGTATACAGGTAACTATTTATTAATCTATTAAGAAGAAGAAGAAAAAAAAGTCAAATTCAAGTAGCAAGTCTCTTCTTTTTTTTCTTTTTTTGGTAATATTCTATTTATTATTTCCCTTGAGGCAGAGATGAAAATTGTGTGCGTGTACATTCCGATTCCATTTACACCGATTTTCCACTCAAATCACATGCCGTCTGTTATAGTAACACGGTTCATTTGATGGTACTTTTTTTCCGATTGGATGTTGCTTGTTCACACATCGAATATATGCGTTTTATCTTCATCTTTCTCTTGCGCGCTCTCTCTCATTGATTTCTTTTTTTGCACATTCTTTCAGTTTTTTTCTCGTAATTCGAATCGAGACGTGTCGTCTTGAACAACTGTTCATTCAAAAAAAAAAAGAAAGAAAAAGAAAAAAAAGAAATCAGCATCATACCGGCAACGAGTTAAACAAAACTTGGACATATGGATCACTTCTTTAGAATAGGCAGAACTTTAGGTGTCATGTCTCTTCGTAATATAAAAGCTTCTTGCACATGTCATGCTGAATCATATTTATATATGGTCTAATGAACATTTTTGAGAATATTAACGAACAAAACAAAAAAAAAAACAAAACATGTTTAGGTATGGTTTCAAAATCGACGAGCAAAAGCTCGTAAACAATCACATAATTCATCATCATCAGGTAGTACATCTATGTCATCATCTGTTCGATTATCATCAAAAGTATTTTCAACAAATCCAACATCATCATCATCATTTCATCAAATGTTTAATGGTCGAGGAAATGCATCAACTTCATCTCCTACAAGTCTTATGATGGGAACTGATCCAGCTACTAGTGCTGCTGCTGCTGCAGCTGTTTTCTATTCACCATTTCCACCACCACCACCATCATCATGTGATTTTAATGTTCGTTCAACTATGGTAAATTAAATGAAATAAATAAAATACAAAAAAAAATTCTTTTATTTTTTTTTCTCTTATGTAGGATAATCCAATGTCATTTCATTCTCAATATCCACAACAACATCAACATACAGAAGATGAATATACAAGAAATATGCGTATGCATAATTTATCAACCAGTTTAATTAATCATCATCAAAATCCATATCATCATGGATAACAAAAGCAAAAAAAAAAACAAAAAATAACTAAAAATTCTCTTTCTAAAGAATATGTAAAACAAATAAGAGCTGCGTAACAGGTGATAGAAAATGTTTTCTTTTTTCTTTTTTTGTTCTGTATATGTCCGTGTGTGGATGTTTATGTTTTGTTTCTTTCACTTTCATTGTCGCATTATAATGAAATTTAATTATACATATGCAATTACAACTATTTTTAAGTCTTTAAATGATTTTTTTATCAAATGTCAAGTTTGATTTTCATCAATTCATTTTATATATGCATGATTAGGTCATTGTCATACTGTTTATAAATTGAAGAGGTTATGTTGCCCTTGTACAAAAGCAAAATTATCTTTGTTGTATATAAAATTAATTGAAATCTCCCTGATGATTTATGTTCGATTGAAAAATTTATCAAATAATGACAAAACAATTGATACCATCTGAGACTTTTAATACTTCATCGTTTATAGTAAATGTGAATAGTATTTTTATTAAACTATACAGAGAAAAATTGATGGACATAATAACTTGTTGACCTATAGAATTTTCATAATTCAATTAATAAAGTACTCAGATATATATATTTCATTTGACATATGTCTCATAAAAAGAAAAAGGGATGTTTCATTTTGATCAAGAGAAAAAAAAACTAATATTCATAAAGAAATCTATTAGATGCAGACAATAGAGAGTCATATATAACAAATTTAATTTATGAAAAATATACGTTAAGTTCAGCTAAACCCATAGTTGAATCACATCCTTGATACCAAACTAAGAATTTATCTTCAGCTATTTTCTTCCATCCTTCAACAAAAATAACAAGTGGTGTAAGACCACGATTACTCCATTCACCTGATTTATAATCACATCTTTCCCAATCTAATTCAGGTGATAAAATTGGTAATTCACTTCGAGCTAAAATTTCTGTTGGATTATCACCATTTAATATTGCCCAACCTAAATTATATTGTAAATTCCAATTAGGTTTTGGATTTGGAATTGTTGTATATTGTGCTGAATTATAAAGAAATAAATAATTTTTATCACTTAATTTTAATGGTTGTGGTCCAGCTTCGATAAGTACTGAATCAAAATGATCCGATCGAGTTTTAAGAAGTAAACTAGATGAAAGATCATAATGAATAAGATCTTTTGTTTGTGCTATAGAAATATTTGAATCATTGAAAAATAAATAACGATGAGTATCATTATGAATTAATAAACTACCACTTTTACTCCAAAATACATTAGGAAATAATGGACCATAATATTTCCAATTTAATTTAGTGAAACAATTAATTTGACATGTAGCTAATGCTAATTGAGCACGCCATATACCATGTGAATCACTGCTTAGAGCTGTGTACAATCTAATATAATAAATAAATAGAATAGATAGTTACAACTTATTTCTATTTTGTCTTCATATTAGCATATTTTCTTTTTCTATAATAAACAATTAATTTATTATTTTTAATTTTTATAAATTTCAAATTATAACACATGTTGAATAAAATGTAAATTAATAATTACTAACAAAACTAAAAAACAAATTTTATTTCGTACAGTAAAATGATAAGAAAATTTCTCTATGAAGAAATTTTTCAATTGTTTATTTATTAGTTTCTCAAAATTATACAGAAGTCTATCGAACTATTTTTTTTAAAAAACCAGTCGACAATTAGTTATTCACTTACAGATAGTAAGTATTATTAAATAATACTATACGAGGATCTTCAACTCCAATTGATTGATATTCTTGATCAGTATCAATAATTATATCTTGTTCAGTAATATATGTATATTTAAGATAAGTACTATCTATATTTCGACTCAATGCTATTTTACTTGGACCAACATCATAAATAGTTTTTGAATTATTACTTAAATTTTGTACACGTACTAGAAGTGCAATTGCATCTGAATCATTTATTATTGGCATAAAAGCACTATTATAATTATATAAAAAATCAGAATTATTATTCCATGATGATATAATTGGTACATTTGAAAGACGTTTCATTTTAATACATGGTGGAATATATGATAAACTGTATGATGTAAATAAAATCATAAGAAATAAAATCATATTTAATTTTAACAAAGCCATAGATATGTTTTTACTCATGAATAATTTACACAAATAAGTAGTTCTATTTTATATATATATATACGAAGGAGAAAATATTAAATAGATAATAAATGTTATCAAGAACACAAACCTTTGTTATCAACATTAATATCTTGAGGATATGTGCTTTCAAAAAAAAGTTGGTTTTGGTCAGAAAAAAGAAATCATTTTTGAGATAAGCATGCAGATATATCACGAGTAGAGATATACGAAACCAATCGCAGTTACCAGGATCAGAACTCAATTTTATAGTAAAATATTTTGTGTTTTTGAGCAAATTATCATCTAAATCATATGAATCAGAAACATAAATCAAACAATAAGACGAATATTATATTCAATTTTTCAGGAAACATTTTAAAGATTTTTGAGATTTAGATACTTTCTTCAAACAAAAAAAAAACTCAAATCCTAAGATAAAAAATTCTTTGTACTCGTTCAATAGATGAAAAATTCTTAATAAATTAGAAATATACTAGGAAAATTTTTTTGTAATTCATCACTATGAATTACTAATCAAAAAGAAATAGTTCTCTAAGAGAAGATTTGAATTCTATACATATAAATTGAACTTGTATCTCTAATGCTTAGTTTTATATGAAAGAAAGTAAATTGTAAAATCAACAATATATTTTAGTTTTATGTCAAATTTAGATGCTTGTTTTTTATGATATTTTAGCCACGAAAACGATACATTAACAAAGAAAAAAAAAACAACAGATCAATGGACTATATGAGAATCATTCAGACAAGGACAACAAGAATAGATAAAAAGAAAAAAAAACGTTTTTTGTTTTCTAACTAACGGAATGAAATAAAAACTATTGTTTTTTTCTTTTGATAGGAATGTATTTTTTGATTTATCAAAAAATAACTATTGATTTTTGGTTTTGTTCTTTTTGATTAAATTATCCTTATTAAGTAGAAGTGCCTTCAATAGCACGTTTAAATTCTTCATAACTAATATATCCATCACGATTAAGATCTTCATCTTTTAGTATATCATCAACAATACGTATAAGTTCTTCATCAGGAAGTCGTTCTTGATGTGGAGGAGTTTGTCCTGTTGTATCAGTATTATTCTTATTTTCTTCATGATGTGCATGATCAAAAGCAGCTACAATTTCTAAACCATCTAAACGATTATCATTATTTGTATCATGTAATTTAAAATAATAAAAATTCTGTTCTTCTGATGTCATCTCTTCTTTTGGTTTATTTATTTGACCTTCTAAATCATGTTTAATATGTCTAAAAAAGAAAATACAACATTATAATATATTAATAGGAAGTCATCATACTCCACATCATGAACATATTCTTCCATTTTTCGTACAACATGTGGTTGTCCATTTGGAGGTTGATTACCGGTAGAGCCATGTTGACCATGACCATCGGTTCGATAGATCAATACCAATAGAACAATAAGAGCAACAACAACACGCATGTTACTAAAATTTCAAATGATATGAAGATTTATTAAATAACACGTGTCATTCGTTTGTCTCATACGATGTTTGAGTCAAAAATCATTTGATTAGTCTATGCTAAAAACGAATCATATAGAAGAATAACACCTCTCCCGTCATTTTAATCTCTTAAATGCATTAATAATTTTGAATTTTTTTTCAAAATTTTTATTTTTTTTAATAATTAAAATAAAAATCTATGAAAATAAATTTATAATTAATTCTAAAAATTATTTACATATATTCTCAAAGAAGGAAAAATTTAATAGTAAAAATTTTTATGATTGGTCAATAGAAAAAGCTATAGATTATTTATATTATGAAAATGAATATTTTTATAAACAACCACAGAATTCTATTTTGTTAATAGATAAAAAGATTTTACTTTTAATAAAAAAAAAACAATGTCATCTATAATTAATACAATAAAAGTAATGATCTTTTATTTAATATTAGCTGTATGTGCATGTTTTGGTCTTATTTTTGTTCAAACGCCTGCTATACCATTAATATTTTTTAATCGGCGTTTTTATTTTCGTTGGTGTTCATTAGCAATGGGTTATTATCTTTTAATGGCAACTGTATGTTGTTTTTATTTTTTGGTATCGATAAAGTTAATTCATTAAAAATTTTTAGTGTCTTCTTGAAGATTTACTTGGAATTAAAATTATTATTACTGGTGATGATTTAACAAAAGATAGAAAACGTTCATTAATTATATTAAATCATCGTACAAGACTTGATTGGATGTTTATTTGGATGTTACATAGTCGTTTTAAAATTTTAGAACAACTTAAAATTGTTCTTAAAGCTGATCTTAAACGTATTCCTGGTCCTGGTAAGAATTTTTCTAACAAAAAAAAAAGACAAAATATTTTGATTTTATTCTCTAGGATGGGCTATGCAACATGCTGGTTATCTATTTATTGATCGTATATGGGAAAAAGATCAACAAACAATTAAAAATCTTAGTGGATATTATAAATCATGTCAATCACCACTTTCCGTATGTAATTAAAAATAATTTTCTATTCGATATTCAAAAAAGAAATAAGACGGTCCTATGTTTTATTTCTATATATCGAATAGAGAAAATAAATGATATGTTTAATCTAACAAAATCAATTCTTTTTTTAATGATTGATATTGTTCAAGAAAACATGTACAAAATTAGAAAAATTATTTGTCACAGGGAAAATAACATTGACTGATATGAATCAATATATTATCGACTTCTAAGAATTTCATACATGATAACGTACTAACTAATATACTATTATTCATTTCAAAAACGAAGCATAACAGGAGGTTTTTGATCATCATAGACTGATAAATTTTGATGGATTCGATACATGACTATGTTACTTGTGAAAACAATTTCTTAATTATTTTTTACACCCATTGATGTCTCTTCTTTGGTTAGAAGCTTATCTATTAGAGTTCGTTAGGTGAAAAACTTTCGGATCTGAATCTGATTGAGCCGTACTGTGATACTCTCTATGAAAATTTTCTCATCGGAATTGGATAGTCACCTTGAAAATATGAGATTTTTTTTTCCGGTTTTTTGTATTCAGTGAATAGCGGATCCTAAACACTTCTTAGACAAGTAGAGTGTTAATATCATAATGATGCATATAGTTTAACTTTTTGTTTCAGTCTTTTGAATATTTTAATTTGAATTTAGATATTAATTTTTCCTGAAGGAACAAATTTAACAGATGAAACGAAAATAAAAAGTAATGATTATGCAGCCAAACAAAATACTTTTAATCGATCCTATGATTATTGTCTTCATCCACGTTTACAGGGATTTACATTTTTACTAAATACAATGCGATCAGGTTAGAGAACAAAAAAAACAACACGAAGAAATTAAATATGTTTTTGGTTTTTTTTTGCATTCAGATGAAATTCTCGATACAATTGATGATGTTACTATTGGTTATGAAGGAATTATTCCAGAAGCAGAAATTGATTTATTAAAAGGTCATATACCTAAAGCAGTTCATTTTCATGTTAAACGTTATAATATAAATGATATACCTAAAACAAATGATGAAATCGGACAATGGCTTCAAAATTGTTGGGATGAAAAAGAGAATCGTTTAAAAGAGTAAAACAACAAAAAGAAAAAGCATTTCTTATTTTATTTAAATCATTTGTATTTAATTAGATTTTATATTAAATATCAATTTGATGTGCAATCAAAACATTTTAATAATAAAGATATTGAGTCAAATATAACTTTTCAACGTCGTTTAGCATTTATATTATGGTCTTTATTAATATTATTTTGGTCTTATTGTATTTTTGCATATATTAAAATAAAATTTTATGTTTTCTTAGTTTGTATATTTCATTCCATAATGGATTCATTTGCTAATGGTATCATTGATTTTGTCTGTCAACTTGATGTTAATTATCGACAAAGTGAATCACAACGGACCCGAGCATCAATCAAACAAAATTAAAATGATTTTTTTTGTCTTTTTCTTTTTGTATGAATTTATGATCGGATTTTCAAATATTCTTAGTCAGAAGATTAGAGTCACTTAGAATATTTTTTATTTTCCACTCAAATCACTTTCATTTTAGATAGAATCTATTCCGAAAGGTCAAGGAAGATAAAACAAGAAAAAAAAAAGGATCATGCAGATCTTTGTACGTACGCTGGATGAGCGAACATTAACATTCAATGTTCAACCTGATGACACGATCGATGATGTTAAAGAACTTGTTGAACAACGTGAAGGTAAATTAAGAAGCGAGAGGAGATGATTTAAAACTTCAGGAGAACTAACTCGATCTTCAAAGAAACATCAAACCTCACACACAGATAAAACATTGATTTTAATCATTATATTCTTAATATAATTGATTTTTAGGTATTTCGACCGATGAACAACGTTTAACATTAGGTGGCATTTCATTAGATGATGAATTAACACTCGATGAATGTCATGTTGAAGAGGGAAGTACACTCTATGTTTTACTTGATCTTGAAGGTGGTGGTAAAAAACGAAAGAAGAAATCATATAGTACACCAAAGAAAAATAAACATAAACGAAAGAAAGTTAAATTGGCTGTACTTAAATATTATAAAGTAAAAAAAACAAAATAAACTATATTTTTCAATTTCGAAATAAAATGAAATTCATATATATTTTTAAGGTTGAAGATTCCGGCAAAATTCGTCGTTTACGACGTGAATGTCCATCAAAACAATGTGGTGCTGGTGTATTTATGGCAGCACATCATGATCGTAATTATTGTGGCAAATGTTGTGTTACATATATGTTCAAAAAACGTGAAGACGAAGAATAAAATAAAATAATATAGACAATGATAATTAATCATTGTTTCTTCATTTTGTTTTTATATGAAACATCAAATTTGTCTTTTGTAACATCTTTTAAAAAGAAGATTAAATAAAAAAGAAAATATTTTGGTGAAAAGTTTTCACCTTACCGTCAATAATAAAACAAATAAGATTTTCATATTTTACAGATTATTTCGTGTTAATAAGGAAAAAAAATGACAACGACAGCAACACAAATGAAAACACCACTTAATCCAAGACCATATATTAATGAATTAGTCGGAAAAAAAATTCTTGTTCGTCTTAAATGGGGAATTACATATACCGGTACACAGAATAATAAACTAGACTATTTTATTTTTTTGTTAAATTTAGGTGTCCTTGTCAGTGTTGATCAATATATGAATGTACAATTAGGTAATGCTGTTGAATTTATTGATGAACAAAACAAAGGTCCATTAGGTGAAGTTCTTATTCGATGTAACAATATTCTTTTTATATCCGGTATTGAAGAAATCGATGAGGATGATGATGCAATGGCTTAATAAAAACTTTATCTTTACTGTTGTTGTTGTTGTTGTATGTTATATTTCTGTTTTGTTTTTTTTTACTTGTTTTGATACGTATATGCAGATACAATGAAATGTAGAAATAAACAAAAGATATATCATTATTGGTTTTTATAAATAGAATTTCTTTGATTAATATGCACATTCTAGGATTTTTATTTGAAAAGATAAAAAAAAAAGAGAACTAATGAATTGTTTGGCATATGCTGGTTGTATACATCAATTTCAAATAAATGAGAATGGTTATATTCAAATTGATATATTTGAATATGATAACAATATGGAAAGATTTATAAATGTCATTGAAAAACCATTAATACCATCGATGACAATGAAATTTAATAAATGTACTATAGTTGGTTCATGCTTGATTGATAAAGGTCTATGTGTTCTTTTACATCTTATTACATTGAATAATTCAATTTTAATGTTTCTTCAATTACAATCACGTCCATGGTCATGCCATATACTTTATACATTACAAATACCATCATCAATTCATGCATCAATGAAATTTCTTTCAATAAATTCATTTTTAAGTATATTTATAAATGAAGAAAAAAATCAAAATGGTTTTTATATAATTGATAATAATAAAGAAAATTTTCGAAGAAATATTGAATTTATACAATGTTCATTATTAACATATATCTATTGTTATTTATATGATAATTTTTATTGGTTAATGGGTACTGAAATTGATTTGAATACGAAACAAAAATTGATTAAAGTGAAGTTTTTTTTTTTTTTGTTCTTTCGGTTTATTTTTTTAAAAGACAAGTCTTGGAGACGAGCAAATGGGAAATGATTCGTTTGTATAAATTCTAATGAAAGCAAAAAAAAATCAATATGGAAGATTAAATAGTGGAAGTTGAGGTTTACGATCTAATGAACAAAATGCAGATAAGAAGTAATGTCTCTTACTATAAATGACTTGTTTCATTGTAGTAAAACATTGTAATGCTTCATCTATGACACGATTTACAATCTCTTATCATTCCTAATTCCTTCTTCAGCAATTAAGTTCAATGTAATCATACTTCTAATGATTACTGTGCTTTGTCTGGCCAATAAGATAGAATTTTCAATATCATTCACTATTCGATTCTATACTTGGTTGGGTCTCAAGCTGAATACTGAAACGTAGAATAATAAATATTGAAGAAAAATAATTTGTCTTCTACGTTTAAACAATTGTACATCAGAAAAAATCTCTTAGAAGTTCAAAGTTCAATATATTTGATATTTATCTTTACGTATTATTCTTAATGATACTCGTAAAAACGATTGATTAAAAAGAATTCGAACTTAAAAGTTGATTAATTTGTCATTTGGAAGATTTACCTTTGTTATAGGAGCATATTTCTCATGTTTGGTATCATTAAGCATGATCCCAAACCGTTTGAGTCATCTTTGTCTAAACGAAGAAAAATGTTTCTATGCACTAAACCATCGCACACAATATTTTTCTATCGGTAGAAAAATCGAAATAAGGAAATAATACTACAGAATGTTTCAAGAGAGATTTTGGCAATGTTATCAAATCACCTATTAGAATCAATCAAGACACCTAAATCTAATGAATTTGGAGTTGAGTTGTTTTTCAATTTCCTTTCTATTAAACAAAGCGATTCATTGGATCATTTTTTGCTTGGTTTTCAAAGGCAGACATCTTTTTATACAGTTTATTGATATAGTTGATAATCAATGAGGTAAGTTTGAAATATTCAAATTCTGTTGTTGAGTTTGAACACATGAATTTTTATTAAAATGCTATTCATGCTTCAAGAGAAGTGTTCTGAAATCTGAAAATTTTATGGGGGTTACAACTCTCTTTTATTTGAGCGTAGGTTGCCATTATAAGATGTAGAAATGGGCAACGAAGTATTACTTCATCCAATGGTGAAAACACGATTTCGATAGCTATAAACGATCGAAAGTTATTTCAAAAAAATAGCGGTTAGCATTTTAATAAAATTCCGACAGTAGTTAACATCCAAATATTAAAAATCTCTCTTTAATGTAGATAATGATAGCTTTAATCCATAGTTTTTCTAACATTTATTTTTGTTCTTCTTTATCTAATATAATAATTTTTTTTTTATCGTGTTATTTAGCTAATCTAACTTTTTTTCTTTTAGGTCTACTATGGTTGTTCAACTTATTTATCTAGTCCACTTGTTTCATTCAATACTAATAAATTTATTCCTATATCTCTTGTTGATAATATTCAAGACATATATGTTATTAATCATAAAATTCAATTAAAAACTCGTTTAATTTTGGGTGATATTATTATATCAAGTAAAGATAATCGAATTTTTTCATCTCATAATGGTATAATATGTCATGAACTATCAATGAATAATTTAATTAATTCTATTCTATCATATTATACAATTGAAAATGAACAATTATTTCTTTTTATAAAAAAAGATATTCAATCTATTGAAATATTTCAATATGATGAAAATTTTCTATTAATTCCATATACAAATACAAATGAAATAGCTAATTATATTCTTATTGATGATTTTAATCAAATAGGATGGAAACAAATATTATTTTTAAAAAATAATTTTAATCTAAATTCATTTATGTTAACTGATTTTTCACAAATACATGTATTTCAACAAGAATCAAATTATGAATATAATGTCTGTAAGATTATTATAAATAATAAAAGAATAGAACAAAAAAAAAAAATTAATTATATAAATTATTTATTATTTGTTTTAGACTGAAGAAAAATTTTTATCTATTGACATGGATGATGCTGATATCCAAAGTAGTCTTGCTCTTGTTCAAGATATTCTTCGAAAGAAAATCATTGTAAGAAAAAATAAAAATAAATAATATACGATGCAAAAAAAAAAATTTATATTCAAGAGAAAACAAACCGATTTCTCTGATTTTTAGCATAGAAATTAGTTTATTCCTCCTTGGTTATCTAGAAAGGAAGCTATTTATAGTCCATCTTGTATTTTAATCATCGAGTAATAAAAAAAAAATGACACAAGAAGAAGGAAAAATATTCGCATAATAAAATTGTAATTTCAACATGAACTTGTGAAAAACAATCTTGTTCGATTTTTATAAACTTATCAAAAAAGAAATTGAAAAATAAGAATTAATTATAATTTGAGTATCATCTTACAAAAGTATTTTTTTCATCAATTCATATTCCAATCACTAAATTATATACAGTTCAAAAGAACAAAAAACAAGTCTTGTTTCTGAATATGTGTATTATACATGTAGAAACGTAACAATTAGCATTAGTGGCGGAGTCGAAGAGCGCTCAGCTCCTTTCAGGAGTCTTTAAACTTCCTCTGGAAATGAGACTATCCTTTATTAGTATATTGCATTATCACTTTATGAAAACAAAAAGTAGTTATATATATTTTTTTTTCCAGAGAAGAACGTTTTCAATCAACTGAAGAGAATATTTCCTTGCAGGTTTACTTGTATTGAAAAGATAAAGAGATCAATATTTTTTGTGGAATTATTTTTGCATCGTGTATTATTCGATTAATATGATAAAGAATTTTATTTTTAGAATGCAGATTTTATTGTCAATGAAGGTTATTTTCAATGTAGACAAGTCGAAAGTGATATTCGAAAAATAAGTAATAAATATCATATTCCAGATCTTAGTATAAATGTAAGATAAATTAATTTATTTTTCATACGTTATTTTCTTTAAAATAAAAATATTAGACACAAACAGAAAGTCTTATTCAAAATTCCAACATTTCAACATTAATTCTTCAATTAATTGAAATAAATTGGTTTGTCTATCGAACAAATTTATTTTTATATGTAACAATTAAAAATTCTACTAAGTAAAATCTTTATATCTTTTGTCTCCTTTTTTTTTTTTTTTTTATAAAATCTATCGTTTTCTTTTTTCTATTATTAGTATCGTCTTAAATTCAGTATATCTATTTGGTATTGATAAAAATTCTAATAAAATAAAATTATTTAATTTAAAAACTACTTTTCAAACATTATTAAATGAACAAACAAGCTTTAATTTAAATTCTAATTCATGTTTAACATTTATTTTAACAACATTAATTGAATTAGATAAAAATATTGATATAGAACTTTATTTATTAATTAATGATAATAATAAAATTTTTCATGTTAGTTCTATTAATATATTAATTGATGATCTTATTAATCCAAATAATGAACGAATATTAAAATTAAATACATTAGAAACTGAATCAAGTTTGTTCGATTTATTTATTTGATAATAAATTATATTTTAATTTTTATTATTTTAAGTGAATAATTTAATGTATCGACAAGCATTGATTTATTTAAATACATTATTTCGTTTGGATATAAATATTCAATCAACAACAACAACAACAAAATTTCATCTTATTAAACATTTTAAACAATTATTATCAAATATGGGATTTAAT